CCCTGATTTCCCTCCTTAGTGTCATGTGGCAGGCACATACTAACCTCAGCAGCTGTTTTCTCAGTAAGAAGCTCCTGCCTCTGAAATGGAAGGGGTGTCAGGCTGGGGCCTCCAGCTGGAGTCATATCTTGTGCCTGCTTGTGTTCCCTTTCTTGGTGGAGAAGGTGTTTCCTTGTTCAAGATCAGAAGCCCCTAATAGTAAAAGACACTGACTTTAGCTCAGTTCAGCTTTCTTCATGCCACTTAGTGCTGTGGACCGACATAATGTTACCTCATAGTAGAGATTCTTTTTCAATATGTTGTTTCCAAGAATATTCTATCTGTGGAGTTCAGGGTAGCTATCAGTTGAAATTATTTTAATGTAAATCTGAGGAGTGGCTTTAAAACTTGCAACATTTAATGTTGGTGTACATGAAGTAAGTAGTTGAGGTACTTTTAAAGACAATTACAAGTTTACAGCTACAGTCATTTGTGGAGACTGTTCTTTCCTTCCATCTTTACATGGATTTGGAGATTGAACTTAGGTTGCCAGGCTTGTGCGGCAAGAATCTTTACCATATCAGCAGCCTACCTTTTGTTTTTATATGGCTTCCTAAAGTACCCACCTGACTGCTTTAGGATAAGATTCATTGTTGTCTTGGATGATGACCTTCTGATCCTCTTGCTTTCTCAAATGCTGATAGTACAGGTACCGGCCATCATGTACAGTTATATGGGTTGGGTGAGAATCAAACCCAGGGCTTTGTGTGTGCTAGCCAAGCATTCTACCAGCTGAGCCACATCCCTAGACTGTATTCTCTCTCTCTCTCTTTTTCTCTCTTTCTCTCTCTGTCTGTCTCTCTTGCTGTCTCTGTCTCTCTCTCTTTCTTTAGATGTTTTGTTGTTTGTGTTGTTTGTTTTGAGACAGGTTCTCATGTAGCATGGGCTAGCCTCAAAGTCACTGAGGATGACACTTTAAACTCCTGGTCATTATGCCTCTACCTTCCAAATGTTGGGGTTATAGGCATATGCTTACATGCTTGGCTTTGTTTGTTTTTCAAGACAGGGTTTCTCAGTATTGCTTTGGAGCCTGCCTGTCCTGGAACTAGCTCTGTAGGACAGGCTAGCCTCAAACTACAGAGATTCGCCTGCCTCTGCCTCTCAGGATTAAAGGTGTGTGCCACCACCAATGCCTGGCTGCTCTTCAATTGATTTTTAAGAATGATTTTTTATGTGTACTTCTGTGTATCTATGCGTGGGAATGTGCACGAGTACAGGTACCATTTGAGGTCAGGCATGGGATCTGGATCTAGATGGCTGTTGTGAGCCATCCAGCGTGGGTACTAGGAACCAAACTCAGGTCTTCTCAAGAGCAGAATGTGTTCTTAATCCCTAAGCCATCACTCCAGCCCCCTTTTGTAGCATTGAGGGTGCTTGTGGTCATGCTGTTCAGGACAGGTAAGTGTCTCTTGATCTAATCCAGCTGGCTCATTCAGTCTAAATTTTCAGTCAGGAGCCTGTGCTGAGTAATGAAGATGAGCCACTGGCCTCCAGATGCCAGTATCTCTTGTGAGATGATGGTAGTGTCCTCTGGTTATTATAATGATAACAAAAAAAAAAAAAAAAAAAAAAAAAAAAAACAAATGGCTTGATGTGACAATATCTGGTGTGAACTTAGCACAGCACAGGAGTTTTGTTGTTTGCATCTCTACTTGAAAGTAGGATAAAGTACATTTTAATTAAGCTAGTTTTATTTAGAAACTTAATAAGAATGGCTGCACTAAACTGTAATTACAGTTGAAGATTCCTGGTACTTGACAAAAAAAAAAAAAAAAAAAAATCAAGACACGGGAAAAGGCTAGCTCGTGTTAACTCTGTAGAGCTGTGACTAAAAGTGAGAAACTCCTCATGAGGAATTTTCCACTAGGGAAGTCTATTAGTTCATTGCTCAAAGAAAAGAAAAGAAATAGAGATGGGTTGAAGATGGTTCAGAGCTTAAGAGCACTGGCTCTTCTTCTATAGGATGTGGGTTCAGTTCTCAGAAACTACACTGGCAACTCATAAGCTTCTGTAATTCCAGTTTCAGGGGACCTGACACCTTCTAACTTCCATGGGCACCAGGTACACAAATGGTGCTCATTCATTAAGGCAGGCAAAACATTCATACACATAAAGAAAATAAATATTTGGGGAAAAAATGAATGTGGTTGATTGGAGAGATGGTGCAGTGGTTAAGAGCACTGGCTGCTCTTCAGAGGTCCTGGGTTCAATTCCCAGCAAACACATGGTAGCTCACAACCATCTGTAATGAGATCTGGTGCCCTCTTCTGGCATGCAGGAATACATGCAGACAGAATACTGTATATACAATAAATAAATCTTTAAGAAGAAAAAAAATAATGTAAATTTAAAGTAGAGGAAAGAGCCCTGAAGGTTGAGGTTAAAAACCTTGCTTGTTTTGGCTCTTTATTTTTTGAATAGTTTTATGACATTCTGTCATTCCTTGTGTGACATGGCCCCAGTTTATTTTTATTTGGCAGGCAGGAATAGCTCTTTATTGAGATAAAATTCACCTGGCAGATAGCTTACCTGTCTGAAGTATTTGCTGATTTTTAAAAAAAATCTTTGCATATTGGAGTTGTGCAGCCATGACAGTAACCATCCCCAACTCAAACAACACACCATTTGCCTATGGCACCCCTTCCTGTTTTTCCCCAACACTTCTTTTTTTTAATCATTTTTCTTCTTTTACATCTCTATCCCAGTTCCCTCACCCTCCCATCCTCCTATGCCCCCCAACTCCCCTCTCATCTATCCCCCCTCCACTCCACAGGGAGGGTGATACCTTCCAGGAGGGATCAACAAAATCTGTCAACTCATTTGGAGTAGGGCTAGGCCCTCCCTCCTGCCTCTAAGCTAAGGGAGTATCCCTCCATGGGGAATGTCCTCCCAAAGTCCTTTCGTGCACCAGGGGATACATCCTGGTTCCACTGTCAGAGGTCCCTTAGACTGCCCAGGCCTTCTAACTGAGACCCATGTTCAGGGGGTCTGAGTCACTCCAGTGCTGGTTTCTCAGCTATCAATCTGGGGGTCCATGAGCTTCCCCTTGTTCAGGTCAGCTGTCTCTGTGGGTTTCTGTAGCCTGGTCTTGACCCTTTTTCTTATCACTCCTCCATCTCTGCAACTGGATTCTAGGAGATCTGCTCAGTGTTCAGCTGTGGGTGTCTGCCCCTGTTTCCATCAGCTACTAGATGAGGGCTCTATGATGACATATAAGTTAGTCATCAATCTCATTATTAGGGGAAGGCATGCTTTGATGTCTTGAGTCTGGTTTGTGACATTAGAATATCTGAGATTGAGTAGTTTAAAGGAAGAAGAGAAGTGTGTTTCTCAGCTCTAGAGAGTAGACCCTGAAAAATCAAGGTGCTGGCATCTGGTGTGATCCTTTACTGTCCTCACATGGTGGAAGTCTGTAGTTAAAGGGAGAATATTGTGTACTTGCTTGGCAATGGAGCAAAGGAGAGAGATCCAGCTGCACAGGCCCTTGCTGTACTAGTTCACTGATCATGGCCTACCTGAGCTTACTGGAGATGTGCTTGTCTTCTTTCTTCCACTCCCTGTCAACTCTGTGTTTCTACACTCCATTCTGAAGTCCTCATTATATGTGCTACACAGTCAGAGTCTCTTGGGCCTTGGTCTTCCTCTGAGATTTTATTTTTGCGATGTAGACAGACAAATGTCTTGAATGGAAGGGCTTGAGCTAATTAGAAGAAGAGTGGAATTCAGACACTCTGGGTGAATCACCAAAGTCTTAATTTTGGCTAGAAGAAATTGCTGAATGTATGAAGATATTCCCTAGAGGCTGGAGAGATGGCTCAGAGGTTAAAAGTACTGGCTGCTCTTTCAGAAGACTTGGGTTCAAGTCCCAATATCCACATGGTAGCTCACAACCATCTGTAACTCCAATTCAAGGAGCTCTGATGCCCACTCTGGCAACAAAACACTCATACACATAAAATAATTTTTGTAATTGAAAATAAATAAAAACCAAGCTATTCATCAATAAGAATTAGCTGCCCAATGAAGAACTTTCTAGAACTACATGCATTCTTTGCTGCTTGTGGAGCATCCTCTTCTCAAGATGTTTACACGGTGTTTTTCTGTACTATGTGTGGTGAGGATGGGCTCTGAGGTTCTTCCATGTTGGAGACAGGCTGGCCCCTCCCAAAGCTGACAATTTTGTGCCTTTTCTGGGGGTTGGGTGGTTGCTTTTCGGGCAAGGTCTCACCATGGAGGTTAGACTGGCCTAGAATTCACCATCTTCTTGCCTTTGCCACTCCAATGTGGGGGTTACAGGACTGGGCCGCACATCTGGCTTTTAGATTTTATGCTAAACTGTTAAGAATGGCAGGAGAAAGTATCTTGACCCTTCAAAATGTAATCTTTGAGAAATATACGTCTAATATAAAGAAGTCTATTTACATAGCCTGTTAGAAAACTTGCATTTCTAAAACTCTTAGATATATTTATTTTTTTGTGTATGAGTGCTTTGTCTACATTTATGTATGCCTACCAAGAGGATATCAGGTCCTCCTGGAACTGGAGTTTCAGATGGTTGTGAACCTCCATATAGGTGATAGGAACTGAACCCAGGTCCTCTGCAAGAACAAGTGTTCTTAACCACTGAGCCCCAAACTTGCATTTGTTATACATGGAACACTCTAGTTAATGTTTTAGATTCTGGATTCACCAGATCTTTGTAAAGGTGTCAGTTTTGTGGCCCAGGACAGAAACTTTAGCATTCCTCAGCCTCCTCATCTGGAATTTGGGGTCAGGAACAGTATTAATTGTTAAGATTCTGTAGTTTGTCTCATGCACTGAAGAACTCACTGAGTGTTTCAAGGTTATAATATTAGTGATTATTACATAATAAATAATAAAATAATCTTGTTTCAGGGAGAAAGGAGAGATGTGGGTGATTATTAACAACAAGTTTAACCTCCTATTTAAATTTCTCTTAGAGGAAACACAAGAATAGAAGAGGCATGTGAAATGTATACCAGAGCCGCAAATATGTTCAAGATGGCCAAGAATTGGAGTGGTATGTACAACATTTTGTTACATATCAGGCAAATACTTTAAAAATAATATTGTAGAAAGACAGGACTGCGTATTCCCTTTAAAGAGTGAGAATCTTGGTCCCCGAGGCAGGCATTGGAGCATCTCAAGTAACTAACCTGTTTTCATTGTTGACCACTGGGACAGTGTCTGCCTCAGTTTCAGCAAGCCACCAGTGGAGCAGGCTGTAGAATCCAAAAGAGCATTTCATGGACTAGGAAGGGTAGGTATGCTTCTTAGAATTGTACTCCAGTAAATGCAATGCCATAACTATAGGAAAACTCAACTAACAAAATGGATAGAAATGCCTTAGCATGCATTGAGAATTTCAAAGCAATTCTCTACTTTGAGTTCATTGAGAACTAGCTAGCACATTAGCTAGCACATTCTTTAAGGTGAGTCCTCACATTAAGATTCTTCTCCTTGTCTGAGTGGATTAACTCTTGCTAACACTAATTGAAGAAAAAGATGCCACCTTTTCCCTTGGAAAAAGAGACTTCTATAGCTCGGATGGTGATGGGACCCTTATGCAAGTGAATGTAGAGGCAACCTTAGGCCAAAGAGAACATGGGTCTCCTGCTTGGCAAACAGCTGTTTTAAAGTAGAAAGTGGCTCCTGCCTTTTCCTAGCTGCTATTTCCCATTGCCTTTAAGGCAGACACTTGGTTTCAAAGAAGATGCTTTTAAGCTGGGTAGATCTGAAAGGCTGCATCTGGCTCTGAAGTTCTGTATCAGCTTACTTTGCAGTAGAGCCTTAGTTAAAAGGGAGATGGAAGGGTTTCAAAAGCACTTATGCCTACACTGTATTTACTGAAGAACAAATGGAAAATAAACAGAATTGTCCCTGTAGTCCATCTTTTCTACTCAAGTCCTGTAATCAGGTGAAAAATGATCTTACCCAAGAGTGCTTACCGGTTTTCTCTGAAGGTAAGATCCTAGGAGATTCACGTGGAAAGGTCCTTGTCCTCCATGTACCTGTGGAGGTCTTCCATGTCTTCTGCTAGGATGATGTTCCCAATGTCCCTGTGTTCTTCTCTTTCTCAATGTGTGGCTGACTATAGCCTGAACTGTCCTGGAACTCATTAGAAGCCCAGATAGGTTTCTACTTGGAGCCATCTTCCTCCCTTGTCTGCCAGATGCTAGGTTAGTAGGCATGTGACACCATGCTTAGCTCCCAGGCAGTCTTACTGAGGCTGAGTAAGTCAGGTCATATATTGGGTTTGTACACTGACCTTCCAGGACTGCCTTCTTTCTTCTTCTGACCTCATGAGCTCATGCTCCTGGCTCCCACCCCAGAACCTTGGTATGTGCTGTTACCTCTGTGTGCATACCTGCCCTTGTTTGTTGCTTTCTTCAGATCCGTCTTCAAATGTTATCTTCTCAGCCCATTCTCTTTTAACTACTCCTCATAACCATCTCCTTCCTGGACACTCGCTACTCTTCCCCACTGCTCACACCACCACCTAGCAAAAACATGGAAGTTACATGGTGTTTTAGTTACTTATATTTACACATGTTCTTCACATAGTGGCTCTCACTAGCATGTAATTTTAAAGGTCAGAGTGTTTACATGTTTCCATTCTGACTTTATCTCCCAGGTCCACACTGTGTCTCTGGGATGGTAGATATTCAGTATATTTATTTGTTAATTGAATAAATAAACACAAGGCTCTGAAACTAAGGCAGTGGTGTACTGGTGGTGATCATAGCACATTTTGTCTCTTGTAATTTTGAAAGTTATTTTATAATGATTAAGTTAATGCTTTTCAGCCACTATTCAAACTAAGCCTGACACACTAGGCAGCTTCCCAGAGGCCACTCTCCTGTAAAGACACTTCCTGGTCGAGAGAGACCTTCCCTTGTTAGCAGTGGCCAGGATATGTGTTCCAAGTGATAAAGTGTTGGCATGAAGAGGTAAAACCAGCACTAACTATTGTCTCGGAGATTGAGATAGCTCAAAGTAGCTGGCTGTTGTGCTGTGTGTACCCCAGCAGGAAATACACAGGTTCTGGGACGGTAAACACAGTAGAAAGTGAGATGCTGGTAGGAGCTGTAAAGTGTGCTGGAGCACAGGGATTTGCGGAGGACAGATGTGTCTGCAGCAATGGAAGTGGCCAGCACCAGTGCTTCTGGAGCCAGGTCCTCCCAAAACTTCACAGCGGGTCCAGGTCACTACATTCTTCCAAGGCAGAGCCCATCAGAGCTCCTGATCAGCTGGCTGATTGCTGCAGCTAGCTTCGCCTTGGCACTTCTCAGTCTTTTGCCTCTTATATGACTCTTCTGTTGCCAGCAGGGATTATTTTGATCCAGCTCTAGCCCTAAGGCCAGTTCTCATCAATCAGTATCTCCCTTATTGCTTTTCTGCTGCTGGAACAAAATACCTTCATCTGATTTATAAAATACAAGTCCAAGATCAAAGAGGTGCCAGCAAATTCAGTATCTGGTAAGGGCTCCTCTCTGCTTCCAAGATGGCATCTTCTTGCTTCATCCTACAATGCAACTTGTTCCTTACAGTATCTTCTATACTGGTATTAATTCCTCTCATAAGTGTGGAATACTCATGGATTAACAACTCCCTAGAGGCCCTAATGAGTAATACTATCACATTGGGTATTAAACTCCACAATATGAAAAGGGTGGGGGACACCAACATTCAGACCACAGCAGCATACATGTTGTGCTAGGTAGTAAATGTTTCCTAAATATCTGTGTTCTCTTGTGTCAGACACAGAGGCATAGGACAAGAACTGAACTGGGGCAGGCTACAGGGTTTGTGTGGCTTTCTTTCCTTGATGATGAGCAGAGGTCCACATGGGAATTTGGTTGATGCCTGTGAAGAGGGTATTTGGGACAAGGGAGACAGCTAAAGCTTTCATAGACTTGAATGTTTTATTTCTTAAGGTAAATTTAAAGCAAATGGTTACTTAGCAGAGTGCTTTGTGATTGTCAGTACAGCCTCTAGCTGTGAGCAGAATTCCAGAACAGCTTGAAGGAGGAGAAGCTTACTTTAGCTCATGGGTTCAGGGACTTGGTCTGTACTTGTTTGACTCCATGTGCACAGATAAAATGTCATGGGTTAGGGGGGATGAGGGGGTGAAGGTAGAGGGGCTTCTCTGTCTTACTGTGGATAAGAAGCAAGAGCAACTGTGGATAAGAAGCAAGAGCAAGGAAAGGAAGGTGGCCTTGACAAGCCTTAGCCCCAGCCCTCAGTGACCTTGATTTTTCATTTAGGCACACCTCTTGAGGCTTCTAGAACTAACCAAAATAGCACCACCAGCTGGAGACCAAGCATTTGAAATAGGAGCCTAGGCATGGTAACACATGCTTGTCTGTAGTCCTGACACTTGGAAGGCTGAAGCAGAGGGAATTGATTAAAGCTTCAGGAAAGACAAGACCTGGTCTTAGCAAACAACACCTTCCTTCCCCCAAGTATTTTAAACTTGAAGTGGTTCTCAACCTGTGGGTCACAACCCCATGGAGGTTGAATGACCCTTTCACAAGGGTCACCTAAGACCATCAGTAAACAAGGCATTTACTTTACGATCCATGGCAGTAGCAAAATTACAATTATGAAGTAGCAATAAAAATAATTTTATGGTTGGGGGTTAGCACAGTATTAGGAAGGTTGAAAACTGTTGCCTTAAGTTTTTGTGCCATTCTAAGTCATGATTTTCCTAGTGGAGCAGATTGAACAATGACACCTGAGTGACATGGACATTGGAAATGAGAAATGAGAAGATGAATAGCCTTGGCTTTAGGGCTTAGCCTTTCTTTAACTGTGTAAATCTAAGTGCCCCTTTTTGGGCTGATCTTATGGTGAGGGACAAAGATCAAGATCCTAAATGTTGGCTGTCAGTCATTGAATGGTGAGCCAAAAAAAAAAAAAAATGGTGGTTTGGTGTCCAGGATGCTTGGCTGGTCCTCTAGAACTACCAAGGGAAAGTGACCAACACTAAGATGCACTTGTCTTGATGCATGTGGTCTCTGTCTGCAGGCTTCTTTTTAGAGACTTGTACCTTTCCTGTGTGGGATATGGCATCATCTTTGGAAAGGCTGTTCCTTACTGTTTAACCATGCATCTTCTTCAGCTGCAGGAAATGCGTTTTGTCAAGCCGCCAAGCTCCACATGCAGCTTCAAAGCAAACATGACTCTGCTACCAGCTTTGTGGATGCTGGAAATGCTTACAAGAAGGCAGACCCTCAAGGTAAGGCCACTGGGTGTCTGTGTCACTGACCAGCATTGTTTCCTGTGGTGGTGAGGTTAGTGTGCCATGCTGAGCCCTGGTAATAAGAATTCTTGCATTACAGAATAAGAAAGAAATTTTGTTTGTTTGTTTTTCAAGACAGGGTTTCTCTGTGTAGCTTTGGAGCCTGTCCTGGAACTAGCTCTCGTAGACCAGGCTGGTCTCCAACTCACAGAAATTCACCTGCCTCTGCCTCCAGAGTGCTGGGATTAAAGGCATGCACCACCACTGCCTGGCAAGAAAGAATTTTGGTCATTTTAATAATGTCTACTCTAATCATAAAGACATCAATTTGGAGGAATTGAGGGACATTTGAGACGGTTTTTCATCATGTGCTACAGTTGGCTCTGCACTCTCCTGCCTCTGCCTCTCATGTGCTGGGATTACAGGCACTTTCTCATCTTCATGAAATAAATGAATGAAGAAGGAAAGCCTGGTGTCCCATCCTACTAAGTTTATCTCACTTAGTGAAGGAGTACAGTATCCAGTGGTTAAAAAGGTATCTTAACCACACAGCACTCTTTTCACTGTTTTTCTAAGTGCTTTTCCTAGCTTTTTTTTTTTTTTTTTTAATAGGAAAGAATGTTGGACATCAAATTAATACAACTTTTTCAAATGTTACTTCTTTTTCGAGGATTAAACTAAAGGTATTACAATCCCATACATATACGTGGTCATCTTTGAGTCCTCTTTTCTTCTATAGTCTATTTTGTTTACAACCCAATCCTCTCCTGTCCAAGTCACGCCAGAAAGAGAGCCTTTCCTGGCTCCCCTCCGACCTCCTTCCACAGGTCACTCCGCCCACGGCTCCACCCCCAATGGGCGTGGTCAGTGCCACAGACGTACTATCTCACTACAACACACAAATCTAAACTTCTAGAAATATATCCCAAAGAAAATGTCATCAAACTTTTTTGTGTAAAGATTAACCATCTTTTTATTTCCAAAAGTGAGAGATGGGACACAGTGGGTATGAGCAGAATGACTCCATATTGTAAGATACCACACAAGCATCCAAGCCCCTGGTTTGGGGCTGGTTGTGATGACACACATCTGTGATCCCTGCACTTGGGAGAGTGAGGCTGGAGGCTTAGGGGTTGCAGACCAGCCTGGAATATGAGACACTGCCTCAAAGAAACCAAAGTGCTTGGTTTCATAGAATGTATGTTGCCTTGGTAAATGTTCACATGCTAATTAAGGATCTGAGTGTTGTATGGCCATAGTTTCCCAGAAAAAAAAAAAAACAAAAACAAAAAAACAAAAAACTAAAAACAAACAAACCCTTGTGCATGTGGAAATACAGTCAAAACACTGGGAAGTGCTGAAGTGGGAATGCTGGGCCTAAGTGGTGGTATAAATAATACCTCTCTGTTTCCCTATAATTTGTAAGGTGTAGCAGTTAGTGTACATTTTTAAACACACTGTAGGGAAAAGTCACTTCATTTTTGTTGTTTTAGTCACTTTTCTATTCCTGCAGTCAAGCTTTGCCTCCTTGCTGCCTCTTTCAAGCTGAAGGCAAACTTGGTGCTGTCAGCCACAAAGTTCTATGAGAACTTTCTGGTACATTGTTTTAAGAAATGAATATAAGTTGTTAGCATTGTCATTGTGAAGGTTTCCCTTGGTTTCATGGATGTGTATGCCAATGTAACTTTTAGGTAACTTTTAGTGTACCAAAAGTTAGTGCCTTTGAGCGGTGTACACATTTACATGTTTGGCTTAAGAGTTGAACAAGCATTACAAAGTGCTTTTGATGTTGACCCCATGAAGAGTGGAGACTATGGAAATGATCTTCCTTGTGAAGAGGTTGATATTTTCCAAAATTATATAAACACACATGATACTAATGAATGCATTTACTGTATACAGTAGCAGGTTTCATTTATCAATGTGGGTGACAATCCCTGTGGTCTTGTTTCCTTTGTAATAGAATCCACCACCTGGATGGACCCCCTAAGAGTTACTGAGCCACACTGCTTTAAATTCCAGTGCAGCTGCTAGGAACAAAGCCACCCTAATGAATCTGGACTGTGCATGATCACATCTGCTCCCACTAACCAGCCTGCCCACCGCTACCCCAAATTTAACTCCTTACCATCAGTAGTAGCAGCCAGGAAACAGGCTCAGCTGAACCCTCTTTCACTGAATGAATTTTTCATTGTTTTTCTTAAATGCCCACGCTTCAGAGGCTATCAACTGCTTAAATGCAGCCATCGACATTTACACAGACATGGTAAGACATTGCATTGCTTGAATGGCTGTGGGGTGGACTCCTTGAGCTGCTTTAGAGTTGTTTTTCCTGGTTCCAAAATAATTGGAGTTTTGTGTAGATAAAGCACATTATGACTCTGCTTTCTCCCCTAGGGAAGGTTTACAATCGCAGCCAAGCACCACATCACGATTGCAGAGATCTACGAGACTGAGCTTGTGGACATTGAGAAGGTAAGCACGACTATGCCCAGGAGAGTAGTTCAGAAGCTGGATGCTTGGCCTGTTTGGAATCCTCTCCTCTTTCTCAGCTGACTGGAGTGGCCCAGAATCATTACAGTTCTCCTGGAGGAGACTGCCTAGGTCTAGCTAGCTGAGGAAAGGGGCTGTTTACCTGGAGTGCCAGAGATTTTCTGAGCTTACCTGTTGGTGTTTTATTCAAGTTAAAATGGCCAAAAGACTTTCCACCTGTCTGCTGAAGTTCTCTGAGGCTCTGGAGGAGTGGAAGGCAAACTCTGCACCCTCAGTCAGCATCAGTCACTCAGCATCACTACTCTCATCTGTGTCCTGCTTGCCAGCTTTTCTTCTGGGGTCCCACAGCCAGTGGATTTTACACCGAATTTTCTTCTCAAGTTGCGCCCTCATTCCCGAGTTCTCTCCAGTCGGCAGGCTTCCTTGCCCTTTCTCTTGTCCCCATCCTTGTGCCCTTAATCAACTTTTCTAGCTCATGGCCCCCTAGCTAAGATTTAGACACCAGGATACTTATCAGATGACACCCCCACAAATACACACTCTTTACGCATCTCCACCCCATTTTACGGCCACCTCTCTCACCTTTCGTCCTGTGGCATATGCTTGCTCACCATTCTGGTATTTCTGTCTCCTTCCCACCTCCCTACCCTGGTAGATCTTGTTCTGTTGAAAGTAGTTTAGGAACTAAAAACTGACAGGTGGTGGTAGTGCATCCCTTTAATTCCAGCATTCAGTAGGCAGAGGCAGGTGGATCTCTGTGAGTTAGAGGCCAGCTTGGTCTACAGAGCTAGTTCCAGGACAGGTAGAACTGTTACACAGAAAAAAAGAAGAACAACAAAAAGAAAAGTGAGGAGCTTGAGACTGAAGGATTGTAAACTCAAGGCCAGTATGGCTGCTTAGTGAGACACTATCTCAAGAAAAACAGTTATGTATACTTTACACACACATACAGACATGGAGGCAGAACTAAATTGTTGGCCCTTGACTTTGAGGCTCTTACATCATTGGAAGTTTGAAATTTATGTTTGAAAAGTCAATGAGCCAAAGTACTGGTTTGTTCTAGATAGTATTCACTGTCAGTATGACAGGTGTTTGTATGCACTTTTGTTTCCTTCACAGTGAGATGTGCCATCAAGCATGCAGATTACTTCTTATAGCTTCCTGAAGTAAAACACTCACCCACATGTAAACAGGTCCTGCATATGTGATCCTTAAATGACCCAGGGGAGATAAAGCTTGTTTTTGTTTCTGGCTCCTGTAGAACCTGACTTAATAGTATTGCTTATAGCATAGGATAGGCACACACTGTAGCTTTGTCTTCAGCCTGAGGCTATGTGTTCTAAGAGAACTGAACCTATTTTAAGGTTTGTTTACAGTGTTGTATGTGTATAATGGACTCCTAGAATGGAAATGGTGAGATGCCCTAGGTTCCATTAGCTCTAAGGCCCACAAATGCCTGCTAAGTTGAAATGCCACTGGAGTAAAGATCCATTGCTAGTGACTGCTCTCCTTTCCTGAGTCTTTCTGTTAAAACTTGGGAAACTGTGGAGTCTGGGTGTTGGTTTGATTAGCATTATTTAAAAAACAAACAAACAAACAAAAAAAAAAAACCAACAAACTTACAATGCAACGTCTGCACCTAAGGTTATTTCAGAAGAGGAGGCAGAAAGATTTAAAAGTCAGAGGAACAGGGAGTTTGCTGTGAGACTTTCTCCCTGTAGGCTACATCCATAAAGCCTCATCATCATAGTTGCCTAAAGATAAGCTGAACAAGGACAGTAATTGACATGCTAGCGTGGACAGAGGAAAGCCCAGGAGGCCTCAGCCCTAGACAAAAAAAAAACAAAAACAAAAACAAAAACCCTACAGGCAGCTAAGGATTGTTGAGAGTAGGAGAAATCATCTGCCCCAGGGATAGTAATCATGCCAATCGGGTATCAACATCAAATGTTGAGCCCTGGTACACAGACTGAGCAGATCGTATTTATGCATTTAGACATATATGTATAACAACAATTAATGAAAAAATAGGCCATGAATCTGAAAGAGAACAAGAAGGGTCTAGAAGGAGAAAATGATGTAATTATAATCTTGAGAATTAAATGACTAAAATAAAACCTTGTAACCAGGGGTAGTGTTAATACCAGCATTTGGGAGGAAGAGGCAGTGGCATCTTTGTGAATTCAAGGCCAGCCTGAACTCAACAAGTTCCAGGCCAGTTCCAATGACCTAAAACTAAATAAAACTTATTATGAATATCTTCCTAATAAATACTGTTAGACCAAATTGTTAAGTGTGTACTTCCCCCCATCCTCCCATCTGAGACAGCAGCTCCTATGACTCAGCTCAACCTTGTTCATTGCTCTCAGTGAAAAACTCGTCCTCTCCTAGGAAGAGGGTCTGTGGTCCTTGCCTTTTTTACAGGAGACATGGGTAAGTTCTTTGTGCCCTGATCCATTTATTGCAGTGGAAACATTGCTAAGCAGTTCAGAGAATAAAAACAGTTCAGAAGGGGGCAGGAGGACCAGGCCAGGCATTTAATCCAAAGCCTCAAAGAGGCCAAGCATGTACCCTACTGCTAGGCTAGGCCCCAGCCCCAAAGCGCCCCCCCCCACTCATACAGTCATAAATTTGCTGAAATTTTTTGGTCCTCTGTATGGCTTGGCCAGACAGTGGTCTAGTTGGGGCCTTTTGTTCATTCACTTCTGGTTACTGGGCATCTGCCACATGGTAGGCATTTTTCTGGGCTCAGGGATGCTATGGTGAACAGCAGTCCCAGGCCTTTCCTCATGCAACTTGCTTCTGTGGGAGATGGAACCATGTGTGACAGGTCTGAGAAGGATTCCAAGTGATTGATTTGTCCTGTTCCTTTTTTATGAACTTTTGTATCTGCTAAAAGTGTACCTAACCTTTTTCTATCTTGGCACCTCTTCCCATTACCTTTAACTGTATATAGCTCGTATGTTTAACCAGTGAAGTCCTTTTTCTTTTTTTCCTATTATGAATGATACTGAGGAAATCTGTTTGGGAAGCATATTAGCTGAAACAGAGTAGAGGTGTCTTATTGAAGAATTGTTCAAGGTGTGTGTTCTTGGTACGCTCCACAATCCAGAGACTTCAGTAGTGTGGCTCCGACAGCTGTAATCACTACAGATAGGCAGAGGCTGCTGGCTTTTATAAGGGTATTCAGATGTAGTTTTCAAGCCTGCTTTGTTCTATTTGTTTTCTTATTTCTGTGCCTAGCATCTTTAGTCTGATTTTCATGTGTACTAGTTGTGTATTTGGGGCTTATTGGGAAAGCTTTGTAAATTAAGGCAGAGGACTGTAAATCTCTGCTTGCTTGTATATGTCTACAAGCCAACAAAGGTGTTTTACTGCTTAACCATCAGAAGCAAGAACTTTTGTGGTACATAACCATCCTGTGAGATTGGGTCAGTGAGGTGGCTCAGGGGGTAAAGCACTTGCCATGTAAGTCTTATGAACTCGTCCAATCCCAACACTTGCTATGTAAGCCTGATGAACTCTTCCAATCGCCAGGACTCACACAAAGTGGAAGGAGAAACCCACTCTACAAAGTGTCCACTGACTTCCACATCCCCCTGACCCTCCTTATGAAAATAAACTTTTAAAAATATTTAAATCATGCAAAACTGATGTTTTATTGTCAATCTCTAAACACAGCAATCATTCCTTTGTTTTTGGTGGCTGTGCTATTACATGCTCACTGAGTACTTGCCAGCAAATCTATCAGCTGCTAGACCCCAAAGTGTGATTTAAGCCACTGCAGAAAATGCTTATCTGATTCCTGTTTTAAAGCCTCCTGCTTACTTATCTGTTGCCATTTGGGCTGCAGAAGCCATTATTGGTTTTTCAGGCCCTTACCTGTAGACATGGTCTATTGTCCCATAACCACCTGAAAAACAGCCAGTTATTTCCAGATTTATCCCCATTGATTTGTTTGCTTGTTTGTTTGTCTGTCTTTGGTTTTTAAGACAGGGTTTCTCTGTATAGCTCTAGCTATTCTGGAACTCACTCTGTAGACCAGGATGGGCTTGAACTCACAAAGATCCACCTACCTCTGCCTCCCAAGTGCTGGGGTTAAAGTCATGCACCACCACCACCTGTCTCTCATCAGGCTTATTAAAGCAGTATATACCACCATCCTGTTCTAGCTGCTTTATATACTTGGGGCTCTGGTAGTGTGTTCTACCTTCTAAACTGTTGAGGGGTCTGATTTCACTAATACTCTTGGCACAGCTTGATGGGGGTGTCTAGCTTTCTTCTCTCTCCATTTGACTGTTGCGTGGGTTTCACCTGTTTTAAATGGAAGAAACACCTTTGCTCAGGTGATATTTGTAGTAGGAAAAGTCAAAGCTGTTGCCATAAGTTGTGGAGTAAAACAGCTGCAGATCTCTCTAAGTTAACCATACAGAGTGCTGATTTGACAGTGACTGGTATGCTGGAATAAGGGGTCAGTTAGGAGGCAGGTTGATTGAATGCTGTCATCTTCAGTCTGTGTTGTCAGTCACCCCAGACCTGGCCATGTCTTTTAACTTTTGGAAATGGAAAAGATGAAGAAAGACATGCAGAGTAAGATGTTTGGTCATTTACATTCTATCAAAGAAGTAGTCATGGAGCCACCCTGACTGCAGTGGAAGCTGGACCATTTGCCTTGAATGAGGGAAACTACTGGTGACTTTTCTGTTACTGTACATAAAACAGAATGACCAAAGCAATTTGTGGAACAAAGAGCTTATTTTGGTTTAGACTTCCAGGGGGATAGAGTCCATCATGATAAGGAGGCATTGTGGTAAAAGATCACATCTTCAACATCAAACAAGAGGAGAGAAAGAGCTAGAAATGGGACAGGGCTGTAAATTCTCAAAGCCCACCCTCAGTGACATACTTCCTCCAGCAAGCCTGTACTTCCCCATACCTCTCCATAGAGCACCATGGAATGGGACCAAGTTGTCGGATATGTAAGCCTAAGAGGAACAGTTCTCATTCAAGCCACCACAGATAGATTCAGATGAAATCAAGCATTTTGTCTCCAGGAGGCTTCAGGGCCACATGCTTTGCTGAGGAAGCCAAGGTCTGAAAGATTTAACACTGGAATAAGCTTAATTATAGGGAAAAATAATGGTGTACATGTAGTCTTAAATTTTTTATTACATTTATTCCTTTATTTTGTGTTTCCAAATGTGTGCTGTAACACACTTGTGGAGGTCAGGAATCTCTTCTTGACTTCCACCATCAGAGTTTCAGGAATCAAACTCAGGTTGTCAAGCTTGGCAGCAAGTGCTTTTACCTACTGAATCATCTTACCAGGGTGTGGTTTTTAAATGCAATTCTTTGAATGCATTGTTTGTAAACTAAATATATGTACTTTCAGGCTATTGCACATTATGAACAGTCTGCTGATTACTACAAAGGAGAAGAATCTAACAGGTATGTGCTTTTCTTCATATCTGTAATGGGTTTTAAATATGTGGTAAAGGATAGCTCATCTATGTCGTCTGAGCAGCTCTGCAGAAGCAAGTGCCCTCAGGCCATGTCTCTTCAGTATTGTCACTTACTATGTACTGTCCTACTTTCAGCTCTGCTAACAAATGTCTGCTGAAGGTGGCAGCGTACGCTGCACAGCTAGAGCAATATCAGAAAGCCATTGAGATCTACGAGCAGGTAAAGACACTGTTGACACCTTGACAAAGTTTGTTTGTTTGTTTGTTTGTTTGGTTGGTTTTTTGAGGCAGAGTTTTCTCTGTAGCTTTGGAGGCTGGCTGTCCTGGAACTCGCTCTGCAGACCAGGCTGACCTTGAACTCAGAGATCCACCTGCCTCTGCCTCCCAAGTGCTAGAATTAAAGGTATGCACCACCAACGCCCGGCCACCTTGACAAATTTGAAACAGTCACTACTACCTACTGCTTAAATATTCCCATCACTCCCAAAAGAACCTTGGAAAGACAACCTGCTTTCTGTTTCCTTGATTTGCTATTATTCTTGACCCTTTTACATATATGGAATACTGCAATAACTGTTTTTGTGACTGACTTTGTCATTTGTCATGTTTTCAAGGTTCTTCGTGTTATAACGTGTCAGTGTTTCATTGCTTTTCATGGTTGAATAATGCTTACTCTATGTGGTTTATATATTCATTTGTTGATAGGCATTTGAGGCGCTTCCACTTGGAGTCTGTTGAGGGATGTACTGCTGTGAACATTTGCACTTAACTTTTGTGGGAGCATGTACCCAGTTATCTTGGCTGCATACTTGGGATGGAATAGAAATTGTTGGGATTCATGGTTCCCAAGCCTGCCTTGCTGAGAAACTACCAGACTCTTACAGAGTACTGAATCTTTGAGTGTTCCCAGCACAGTGCCCAGGGCTCAGCTTCTCCACATCCTCACCAGCATCTCTCTGTGATCCTTAATGAATTCAAAGGGTCATCTCTTCTTTCTCTCATGATGAGTGATACTAATTTTTGTGTGCTCACTGGGTATTTTCCATCATTGGTGAAATGTCTGAGTCATTTGTTCATTTTGATAATTAGGAGTTCCTTTTACATTTATTTATTTATTTTGTGTGCATTTATTTATTTTGTGTGGAGTGTGTGAGTGCAGAAAATAGATTACAGAAAACCTGTGGAAAGGAGAGGACAACTTGAAGGGATTGGTTCTCTCTTTCTACTGTGTGGGTCTTGAGGATCAAACTCACATCTTCATGCTTGGCAGCAAGCACCTTACCAACAGAGCCATCTCACCAGCCTGGAAATTTTTAATTTTTATGAACTCTGGTTTGTCCTTTCCTTTTTACTATCTGTACTTTTTGTCTTGCATTTAAGTATAGTCAAATTGAGCATCATGAATCTTTTTAACCAGTGATTTGTTCTAAGGGTCTTAAGATTTTTGCCTTGAGTTCAGGTGTTTGATCCATTCTGAGTTAAGCTATTAGTGTGCTTGTTAGACTAGGATCCACCTTCACTCTAACGCATGGACATCACTTTACTCATTGTCACTTGTTAAATACACTCTTCAGTGGTCTAGAAGTTGTTTCACTAGTACAGGGCTTCATTCTTGGCCCTGTACTTCATCCATCTGTTTAGCTTTATGCCAGTATCACTTTGTTCTGACAGTGTTGTCTTTACAGGGACATTTGAAATCAGGGACTGTCAGTCCTACAATTGACCCTTCCCAAGATTGTCCTCCTTCTGGATCCCTTGAAGTAACATAAATTTGGGGATCAGTGTGTTATCCTGCAGTGAATCTAGCTTCACTCTTAATAGGACTTGAACGTATGTAGAGCTATTCAAAGAGCATATTGGTCAAGGTTCTCCAGGGAAATAGAGTCAACAGATTGGAGTGCAGAAAGAAAAGAAAGAAGATTTTAGGCATTCACTCTCAGTGATAAAGGTTGAGATGGCCAAGATCTGTTATAAAAACATATGATGTGAGTTCTAGCCCGAATGCAGAAGATCATTGTCTTGATCTCAGAACTATCATGTGAGAAGGATCAAAGGATCAGCTGTCCTTTTCTTAAACTTCAAAAAAAAAAAAAAAAGAAAAGTATATGTTTTGTTTGTTTTTGTTTTTCAAAACAGGATTTCTCTCTGTGATGCTTTAGAGGCTGTCATGGTACTTGCTCTGTACACCAGGCTGGCCTCGAACTCATGGAGATCCACCTGCCTCTGCTTCCCAAGTGCTGGGATTAAAGGTGTGCACTACCACTGCCTGCTCCATCCAAAAAAGTGTATTTTTATTACATTCATTTGTTTATTGGGGCAGGGGCTTAAATGCAAGGACAATTTGCAGAAGTCAGCTCTCTCACCAGGCATCCAGAAAATTAAAAGGTTGCCCAACTTGGTGATATGCACCTTTACCCTCTGAGCCATCTCAATAGCCTCTTTGCTTGGACATATCAGTGAGTTGGCTGGGGCCCATCTCTGTTGGGGAGGGAAGTCTGCTTTTCTCCTCTGCTGACTGAAATTCTAATCTTATGCAGGGTGATATTTAGCCAGAATCTGGGCACCCATAGTTTACTCAAGTTACCTAGAATTAATCCTCAGAGAATATTGCCATTTATGAATATTTAGTATTTAAGTATTTATTACTTAAGTTTTTGTGCTGCTGTGATTAAATGACCGATGAAAGTAATTTAAAGACAGAAAGGGTTAGGTAGGCACTGGTTGCACATGCTTTAGTCCCAGCACTTGGGAAATAGAGTCAGGCAGCTCTCTGTGAGTTTAAGGCCTTGGTCCTTCAAGACCTCTATGGTTAATTTTGGTCAGCTAATGGCTAGTTGTGCCCTTTGGCTCAAAGACAACTTTATTGTCAGAATGCAATCAAAATATCATACAACAGACATTTGTTTTTCTTAAAACAACAAACGTCTAGTTGTACTTTGTAGGAAGAATGGGGGAAAGCTTAGACCCTTTCCACTGTCTCAGATGCATAAATCTTCTAGGCATGTTTAACAGTTCCCATGCCTAATAATTATCTCTTCTCTAGTAAAATGGCATACTATTTGGTGTTGAATATATTACTAAGATACTAAAATGTACTTTTTAAAATGAAACAGCTGAGTAGACAATGGGTTATTTTGCCTGTGCTAGTGACTTGCTGTGTTCTCTGCCTAGGTAGGAGCAAACACAATGGATAACCCCTTGTTGAAGTACAGTGCAAAGGATTACTTCTTCAAGGCAGCACTCTGTCACTTTATAGTGGATGAGCTGAATGCCAAGGTGAGAATACCCTCCTTGCCTTGCTGATGATTTACTTTACACTTGAGAAGAGATGCTTTGTCATTCTTGGTGTCTCTTCATTTAGTCTTAAGAGATATAGCAGTGGCTCACTGGATAAAGCACTTAACTCAAACCTGCAGACCCGAGTTCAGATGCCCAGCACCCACCAAGTAAAAGCTAGGTGCAGTGGCTCATATATGTGATGCCAGCTTTGAGGAGCAAGGCAGAGATAAGTGGGTCCCTGAAGCTTGCTGACCAGCCAACCAGCCAAGTGATAAGTATCATGTTCAGGGAGATGCCGCACCTCAAAAATAAGGTGGAAGATGATTGAGAGAGACACTTGATACTGACCTCTGGCCTTCATATATACACACTCATGCACTCATGTGCACATGCACCCTCCTTAACATGCTTGGGTTCACAGCCACATGAATACATACTTATTCTGCCCTGACACATATAAGTAAAAATAATAGCCCTTCCACGATGTGTGAGTGACTCTTTTGACAGCTGCAGTGCTGTCCTCTTCAAGTTCCTGTAGTGTAGTGATTGCTTTAAATAGAGTGGGGAACTAAGAGAGAGACAGTAACATTAATGTCTTCTGTCCCTCTTTTTCCATCTGTAATTTACTCTTGTGGGCAAGGCAGAGCAGCACATGTGGATGTCATAGCATACATATGGCAATTAGAGAACACCTTTTAGGAGTTAGTCTTCTTCCACTATACAGGATCCATGGATCAAACTCAAGTCATGCATGGTGACAAATGCCTTTACGTGCTAAACTACCTCACTGGCCCTATTAGCTTTTTTTGTAGTTGTTGTTGAGATGGTCTCCCTATGTAACCCTGGCTGTCCTGGAACTTACTATGTTCCAGGATAACCTGGAACTCACAGAGGTCCACCTGCCTCTGCCTCCCAAATGCTTCTAATTTCTCTTTTAGAAAATGCACAAACAAGCTCAAATGTGGAATTAGAGTAGTATGAAGGTCAGGGAAAGCTGCAAAGCAAGATGACAACTAGAAAGCAGGATTGGACCTGAGCAGCCTTGGCTCTGGCCATCTAGTGTTCAAAAGCCACAAAGAAAAATTGCTCTAGAGTCCCTCCTACCCTAGATATTTGGCATTTGGAGGGTATAATAAAGGAAGGTCTCTGTTTAGCAGACAAATATTAATCCTTGCAAGTGAATTAGATTTTTCAGTTTCTTCTCTCTAGTAGCCCAACTGAAATCTAAAAATTATTTCAGAAATTTTATTATCAATTGAAATTGAATACCCAACAAATAGGTTTCCTCTATTATGATGTAGAGTTTAACATTATATTTCTTCAACACTTCAGTGGTATGAAATAATTTTTTTTTTTAAATTAATAGGGCATTTTCAACTTTCCTAGTTCACTAGTTTCCTAGTTCCTAGTTTCACATTGACTGGTTGTTTTCCTTCCTTAGCTTGCTCTTGAGAAATATGAGGAAATGTTTCCAGCATTTACTGACTCCAGAGAATGTAAATTATTGAAAGTAAGTACTGAAGCAACCTGGAAGACAAAAGCCATTACTGTTGGGTTATGGCGCCTAAGTGGGACTGCTGATGGGTGGAGTTTTTTAATCAGTAAGTCTTCTGAGGGTGTATTGGTTACTGGACTTAATGTTTTAATAGAATAATCCAACACTGGGCAGCTTAACAGAGGAAGTATGTTTTGACTACAGCTTGATGGGACAAGTCCATCACAGCACTAGGAGCATGGGATGTTTGCTCACACTGTCTTCAGTGAACAAGCAGAGAGAAATGAATGCTGGTGCCCCACTCGCTCTTACCTTTTATTCAGTCCTGGACTCAAGAGATGGTGGGTCTTCCATCTTCAGTTAAGCCTTTCTAGAAAAACCCACAGGTGTGTTTGAATAGCAACTCTAAACTCAGTTGACAATGAAGACAAGCCATCACTTGGGTACCCCAGACTTGGCCTTTTCATTGTAGATATTCATATGTCAAGAGGGTTAGAGTGTTTAATACTGTTTTAAAATAGGCAGAATTGAAATAGCAGTCAGAGTTAGATCCTTTTCTTGGGTAATTCTTACATTTAGATATATCCTGTTTTGTTAGCTACTAGGAACATCAGTGCAGGCAATACCCAAGGTGTTTTGTATTTCTATAGAAACAGGACTTTCTAGATTAAAGTGTTTTCTCGACTTTTTTTTTTTTAATGCCATCAGAAACTTCTAGAAGCTCATGAAGAACAGAACAGTGAAGCTTACACTGAAGCAGTAAGTTATACCTTCAGGAAATATTGCACTTTTAAAGATCTGCAGTATAAAAATTCTTTTTTCTTTACATTGCATAAATTCTGAACATTTATTTGAATGTGGTTCAACTTGCTTGTATTTTCTAAAGCTGTCTTGCATGTCCCACAAACTATTTCCACGAAGGGTTGGAGAGATGGCCCTGTGGTTTAGAACATTTGTTTCTCTTATAAAGGACAAGAGTTGGATTCCCAGCACCCCACAGCTCATAACCATCTGTAACACCATTTCCAGGAAGTCCAGTGCCCTCTTCTGACCTCCATGGACACTGTGTAATACATTAATACATACAAAATTAATATATCTAACATTTTTATTTAGTTCCATTAACCCGTCACCATGCAGAAGTTCTAGTTGTATTGAGCCCTGATTCTTGAGGACTAACTTACCTGGGATACTTCTTCAGGAACTACTGACAGAGTCGTAACATAGTTTTGGTGTTTGGAGACAGTGACAGTGTAAAGGAGGGCTTATGGTTAGAAGTATCAAAACTGGGCCTTTGGTGTACTTTGGTGTATTTGTGTTATAGGTTACTTTCTTTATGCTTATCTTTTTTCTGTTCTTTTGTTTTTCATCTTTTGTAATCTTGTATTCAGAGTCAAGCAGATTTCTCAGTAGCTTGGAATGAGTTCAACTCTAGTCTTAAAGTGACAGTGAAAAGGAATATCTTAACTTTTACCCTTAAACTGCTTTCACCAATGTCATTGTCTTTCTTTGCATAAGCTGAAATCCATCAAGGAGATTCTGCTCTCCATCCCCTAATTATTTGATTATATTTTTTTACGATCCATAAATTATAGTTTTCTTATATCTTACCAATTTTTTTTATTTTATAAGTTTTATTTAAATTAGGAAATCTTATTTTACATATCAATCCCAGTTCCCTCTGTCTTCTATCCTTCCATGTCCCCTTCCGACTCCCTTCCCATCCCATTCCCCATGCACTCCCCAGGGAGGGTGAGACCTTCTATGAGGGATCATCAAGATCTGTCAAATCATTTGGGGTAGGACCTAGACCCTCCACCATATACCTAGGCTGGGGGAGTATCCCTCCACAGGGAATGTTCTCGCAAAGTCCTTTCATGCACCGGAGATACATCCTGGTTTCATTGCCAGAGGTCCCATAGACTGCCCAGTCCTCCTTGCTTGCTGACACCCACGTTCAGGGATCCTGGTTTGGTCCTATGTTGGTTCCCCAGCTGTCAGATTGGGGTTCATGAGTTCCCACTTGCTCAGGTCATCTGTTTCTGTGGGTTTTCCCAGTGTGGTCTTGACCCTTTTGTCACTCTTTCCTCTCTAAAACTGCATTCTAGTAGTCTGGCTCAGTGCTTAGCTGTGGATCTCTGCTTCTGCTTCTGTTAGCTACTGGATGAAGGCTCTAGAATGGAATTTAAGGTAGTCATTATCATTATAGGGGAAGGGCATTTAAGGCACCCTCTCCACTATTGCTTAGATTCCTCGTTGGGGTCATCCTTGTGGGTCTCTGTAAAGTTCTCTTTACTAATTCTTATGCCATGCCAACTGTCCTCTGTCACATAGAATTTACCTTTCCATTTATAATAGCTTTTCTGTATCTTTACCATACACATGTTCACATACAGAGGAAAATTAAATACACAGGCTTATGGGATAAAGGAAAACTGTTGGGGGGAATGTTTTGTTTGTTTGGTTGGTTGGGTTTTTTGAAAACAGGTTTCTCTTTGCAATTGTCCTGGCTGTCCTGAAACTCACTCCATAGACCAGGATGGCCTCGAACTCACAGAGATCCACCTGCCACCTCCTCTGCCTCCCAAGTACTAAGATTAAAGGCATGTGATGGCTTTAATTTCTACCTGGCTAGGAAAACTGTTTTTAGTGAGGAAAGCTATAAATTAGAATGAATATTTTTTTTATAAATGTTCATTTTGTTTTTTGTAATATTTATTTCATGTGCATTGGTATTAGCTTGCTTATATGTCTGTGTGTGGGTGTCATATCTTGGAGTTAAGAGTTATGAGCTGCATGTGGGTACTGGGAATTGAACCCAGGTATTCTGGAATAACAGTCAGTATTCAACCAATGAGCCATCTCTCCAGACCTAGAATGCGTAATTTCTAATTGTCAGTGGGTTATCGAAAAACATGTTCAAACAGCTTAGGTCACTATCATCTTGTGTTTTCAGTGTATTTCAGGTCTAATTCCTGTTCTTCATTCCTTAAACCAGGTGAAAGAGTTTGACTCAATATCACGCTTGGATCAGTGGCTGACCACCATGTTGCTTCGTATCAAGAAGTCTATCCAAGGTGATGGAGAAGGGGATGGAGACCTCAAATGAAGTGCTGACATCTTTGTAGCATGCAGCTCATTCCTTTTTCATTTTGTCTTCGGGCAGAGTGATCTTTCTGGGATGTCCATTCAATGACAATTTTGTTGTAAATATGCCACACAATTTATGTATTGTTTCAGCTTGCCATATCTGTGTCACTGTGGGAATGGGAAGCTTCTATTCAGTTTGTGGTTATGACACCAAAATATATAATGCTAATCAGAGTCCTCATAGTTTTCTGAGAAGTACTGCTGAATCTTATTCCTGTTCTTCTGATATTTTCAGGCCCCGTGTTCAGTGTTGCCATGTGTTTTTCCCTTTTTCCTATACTCTGGTACTCAACCCAGTTTTATAGATGCTTTGCAGACATTGTGCATTAGTATCTGTATGGACCCTTTACACAAGTGGCTTAGTTTAGATGGTTATTTAGGAAAAAGTTTGTAATTCAGTAGAAACTGTTCGGCTTTCTTTTAGTTATTTTGATGGTGCTAGTGATGAATTCATTTGCTTTTCATTTTGCCCCATATGCTCACATGTACATGGCAAACACTGAGAACAGCTGGGATGTCTTGGCATCACTTGCATTATAAGGGGAAAGAACTTGCTGGCAGGTGTTGTGGTCCTGTTTATTGTGGATGAATGTCAAGATGGATTTCAGTGATTTTCTTTTTTTTTTTTTTTTTTTTTTTTTTTTTTTGTAACTTACAACCTATGAGAAATGGATTTTTTCCCTTTACCAAGAGTTTCCACTGTTACTTGTAATGGAAATCCCTTCTTCATATTTGCTTAAAAATGTTTTAACTTTGTTCTCAGATTTGTATACCTCTCACATTGTCTTCTATGCCAAGGTCATGCCAAACTTGAGCAGAGCTGGGCTGAAGATTCCAGCTGAAGCTTAAGAATATGTGTGGTTAAGTATCCATTTGCTGGACATGGTGGTTAAGTGGGGGTCAGTTTGGCATTAGTATGTTATGTCTGGTTGGATAAGAAACTAACCTGTGTCTGATGGTCCCTGGTTTATTTCTTAACTGGTGATTTCACTTGTATGTATGAATTCTGCTGTCCTATTTGATTTATATAAGATGTATGATGTTATTTGGGATTTTGACCCTCCCTGCTACTTTATGTGCTGATGCAGTACTGTAGACATGGCCTTGCTTCCCGAGTCTCCTGTGCATATTTGTATGCTGAGATGATTTGTGCTTGAAGAGCATGTGTTACTAGAAATACTTCATAGTCCTAATGTGCTGCTGTCATTTGACAGACAATGACTCTCTGATTAGTCAGATATGAAATGGCATTGGAAAGGTGTTTTCATCTTTGGATGGCCCTAGAGTAAGGTTGATGGCTCCTACTGTGCAGTAGAGTGGCTGTGCCAGATTAAGGGCAAAAAGAGGAGAGTTTGAGGACTGATGAGAAAGTCAGATCTTTCACAAGTGAAAGTAGCTGGATGGGGCTAGAAACATGGCTCCTGCTCTTCCAGGGGGCCCAAGTTTGATTCCCAGCATCCATAGTGGTGGCTCAAAAACACCTGTAACTCCAGTCCCCAAGGAGTTCTGGTATCCTCTTCTTCCTTCAATAAGTACATGTATACAGATAAACACATACAAATAAATGACTATATATATACATGTAGGCAAAACACTCAAGTATAAAATAATGAATCTTTTAAAATTATTTTTAAGGAAAAAATTAGCAGGAGATGAAGTTGAAATTGGTCCCAGGAGGACAGGTAGATGGCTGTCAGGCACTGTGAAGACTCTAGCTCAGTCATGGTGGTAACAGGGTGTGTGTGTGCAGGAAGCTCAGAGGCCTCTACATGTCTGGAAAAGAGGGAATATGCCCTAGAATCTGATTAAGATTCCTTTTTCCTTCAGTGCTTTTGTGTTTTCTGAATAACTGGCTGTACCAAAGGTGTACTAGTTTGCACTCAAACCTAGTAGATCGTTCTTGACTCCATTAGAATCTCTTTAAGAAAAGACAGAGAAAAGTGAGTTATTGGGGCTGGAGACATACCCTCATCTACTCTTCCAGAGGACCCATGTTTAAGTCCCAGCAATCATATGGGGACTCAAAGCTGTCTGAAACTCTAGTCCTAAGGGATGTACCATCATCTTCTCACCTCCACAGGCACCAGGCATGCATGTGGTGCACACATGTACATGTAGACAAAACACAGATATACTTAAAAATAAGGTTTTTAAAAACTTGTTTATAGAAAAGTGAATTATTGCTTTGTTCACAGCCAGCTCCAGGAAGCCTTTGGAATAAAGCATGTAAATGGTTGTAAGTCAGTTCCAATAGGAGAGCATTTGAACACTGGCCAGTCTCTGTTCTCTTCCCTCACTAATTCAGTCTTCTGGTGTGACCATTTAAAACCTACATGGTATCTTTTAAGACATTTTGGTTTACTTTTCACTACAATACCTTAACATACCTATCTAGAGAAGTGTTGGGTTTTTAAAGTGTTTGTATTCTTCCAGTTATTTGCTTTTACTGAAGTTAAGTGCTTAGGCAAGCATCATGAACACTTGTAATCCTTTAGTATTTAAGAGGATTGAGTTGGAGGATTGCTTTGATTTTGAAGCCAGCCTGGGTTATAATGTGAGACCTTTTATCTCAAAAAAAAAAAAAAAAAAAAAAAAAAAAAAAAAAAAAGGAAAGGAAAGGCTGAGATCAGTCGGTGCTTGGGTTTATTGTGTCCCAGCACTTGAGAGGCTGAGGCAGGAAGAATATACTAAGAACAGACCTAGCAGAGGGTAAAAGAATAAGCAAAATGTATAGATAGCAGTATGCAAACTTACTTCCTCCAAATATCCTGTGAGCATAGGGCAATGCACTGTCTCAAGATGCCTAGGCTTAGGCTTTCAAGGTCTCTAGAACGTTATGATCAAAACACAGTGATCATTTGTTATAGTTCTCATACTTGGGAAAATCCAGAGATAGTTCATAGTTACATCAGTTGGAAAGCTTTGCTTTTGTGGCAACATTTTTATAGCTTGTGTGAATTCCTTTTTTTTATTTAATGACATAAAACAGTATTTTTGCAGTTGTAACCATGTGTGGTGGTGTCACTACAACCAAAGTATATACACCAGCCCTTGTGCATTTATTGTTCCCTCTGGTGTTGTGCACTCAAAATGTCCAAATACAAACCTTTGTGAGTATTGGAGGATCTGGCAGCACAGCATGCCCATGACCTGCCTGCTGCAGTGTGAGCTGTAACCAGTAGCAGGCCCCGTGAAGTCCGGAGTTGCTCTCAGGCAAGGGAGCACGTTATAAAAACTAACCATGTAACAATAAATCTGCCCTAAGCTGAAAAGACATTTTATGTGAACTTGTACAGTGAATAAAGTAGAAATTATCAGTAATGGTTTGACTAGTCTTTTTTAGCTAAACTGACTCATGTCAGAACTAGTTGCTTTGAAGTTGTTCTCATAAAATTTACAGTACTGAAATTACTGATGCTAGGCTTTTGTGCCATGCTCACCTGATGGTTCAACATGTTGCCTGAAGTTAGAAGGAAACCCTGGTGTCCTCTCTTGCTACAAGTCAAGTGCCAGTGGCTGCCAAGCTCATTTTTTCCCTTCCTTGAATCCTTTGAGCTTCACTGTCACTTGCAAGGCAGACAAAAGGGGCTGCTGGAAACTGTTGTATTCTGGGAATGACCTGGAAACCCAATGTTCCCCTTCCCTGAAAAGGCCATATGTGGCCTTTTTAATATTGTAAGTAGGTATATCCACAGGGAACTAAATATAGCTGCCCATGGATGTGTGAAGTACAGACCCTTGCAACTGAATCACAGAACTTTGCAAGTGCTGATTTGCAAAATAAAATGAATGTGCAGTAGGCCATCAGAAATTGTTGGTTGGTCTCTGCAAGTCTGACTATCCCAGTGTCTCTCCTTGGTTAGCTTTCTTACTCTGAAAGAAGTAGGAGCCTGGCTTCAAAAATAGCCAGAGAGAACAGTTACAGTGGTATAACACTAAACAAGTTAAAGTTGTGATTGGAGACAAGTCTTGGTGATTAATAAGACTGGTTCCCCTTCCAGAGGACCCTGGTTGTATTCCTAGCATCCACATGCTGGTTCACAACTGTGTATGTAACTCCTGTTCCAGGGTATCTGATGTGTCCTTGGGCACCAGGCATGCATGGAATATACAGACATACAAACAGGCAAAATATCCATACACATAATTTTTTTTTAGAAAGTTAAGTTATAATCTACGCTGCCATTTAGATAATTACCAACAGCAAAAATCCAAAGGTTCTCACTACTTTCCGGTCTACTTTTTAAATGACTACAAAAAACTTTGGTAAAACCAAAGGCTAATGGAGCCCTCTAGAGTTTGGACTGTGTTTTAACACAAAATGTGCTGAGGGCCATATCATAAGAACAGCAGATGGGCCAGGTGGTGGTGATGCACACCTTTAATCCTAGCACTTGGAGACAGAGCCTGGCCTCTGGATCTCTGTGAGTTCAAGGCCAGCATGGTGTACAGAGCAAGTTCCAGGGCAGGTTCCAAAGCTACACAGAGAAATCCTCCTGTCTTGAAAAACTAAAAAAGCAAAACAAACAATAGCAAAGGTATCAGTTACCAGGAGGAAAATTCTCTGATAGGAAAAACCTCTTTGGGCAAGACCACATTTTTTTTTCTTTTGGAGACATCCCTGGCTAGCCTGGAACTCACTTTGTAGACCAGGTTGGCCTCAAACTTAAGAGATCCACTTGCCTCTGCCTCCCAAGTTCTGGGATTAAAGGCATCTACTACCACTACCTGGCCACACTCTGAAATATTTTTTGCTTCTGCCTATAACTTCACACGTGCTGCTACAAGTTTTCCCTGTATCATAGTGTGTTTATCTCCATATACTGGACAATCTGTGGATTGTCAAGAAGATGAACCCTCTTTAATCTATATTATATCATGTTAGCTAATACAGAGTTCTGATGAATAATAATAAATACAAAGAAATGCTACACAGTCAAGGCCTGTGAGTTCCTTCTAGGAGCTGCTTTAGATCACAGCTAAGGTTGATGGTTAGGAAAATAGTTGAATTCCCCAGCTGCCAGGATAATTGTGCACTATTAGCTGATATGAAATTTCAAAATAGCTTTAGATTAGACCAGATGCCTTGCTGGTTTTTAAGATAAACTATTCCCAGAAAAGCAATCTAGGGTTAAAAGTGCAAAGCAATTTAATTGCTACATGAAGTTTCTTTGCTAGGTCTAGCTAGGATAGTGATTAACTCTCTGCACAAATTCCTAACCTCAGTTTTATGATTGGGTATGTAACTCTTTGGGGTCCTGGGGCTGAAGAGATGGCTCAAAGGTTAAAAGCACTGATTGCTCTTCCAGAGGTCTCGCGTTCAATCCCCAGCAACCACATTGTGGCTCACAACCATATATAATGAGATTTGGTGCTCTCTCTGGCATGCAGGAATACATGGAAGCAGAATATTGTATACAAAATAAATCTTAAAAGAAAAAAATGTTGGGTGTTGGAATTTTGCAAGTGACAGGGAACAAAAATCTAAGGTCTAGAAACATAAACACAGCAGAGGAAAGATATTCTAACTGGTTGGGGCTACAGAAAATAATCTGATTTATAACCTCAAGAAAGTTTTCTTTTTACTGTTACTCAGGACAGAGTTCCTTTTGAGATTTGAAGTGTTTAGTGTCACTGTGCCTTGGGAATTGCCTACTAAACTGTCCCTAAGATTTACAGTAACCTGAATCCAAACTAAATTGATGACATCTCTTTCTGTCTAAACACAGCACTCTGAAAGCCCAGCATTTATGACTTCTGATCACAGAATATTAACTCAAAGTATTATAGCACACAATTTCCTTGTTTTCTTAGACTTCTCAGTAGTTTAAGTTTATAACTCCTTTAAAATGTTGTAAAATTACCTCTCTAGATAACAAAATTATTGATTCTATACTACCGCAGTTTGCAGCCTGCCAATAGAGTTGGCAAAGAAAAAAATGCTCCAGTCTGTAACAAGTTATTTAGATACATTGCATATGAGTTGTGGGGATGATTGTTTTTAACCACTTAAGAATTGGAATGTAACCTGTGTGTATGACTCCTATATTGCCTGATTTTATTGGGTATATAAGCTGTGAAGAACAGAAGATGCAACAACATCAAAGACTAAAGAAAGGCCCACTCAAGAGAATGTATGAGTGTCTTTTTTCCTAACCCCCTCAGAATAAAGTCTCAGTTCATGCTACGCTGTGGACTTTCTCTTTGAACCCTCTGTGCAGCCTGGAAGCTGGTTCTTCCAGGCTGCGTTAAAAATGGTTAGAATGGCATCAGGTCCCCTCTTCAGTGTGCTATCAGAACACATTTCGGGACCAAGCCACTGAAAGCAGTCTTGCTTTCTCACACAGTAACTGCTTGGAAGGACAGGAAGACACTGCAGAGTGGTGATAACTCCAAGTTTTATGTCCCTTAAGGATCCCCTTCCTGTCTTTGGAAAAGAGAAAAAAAAAGTATATAAACAACATGTCACTTAATGCCTGCTGTGAGGCGTACTGCAGAGAAGGTTAGAGTGCCCTTACATAGATTCCCCAGCTCAACACTGGCCACTGCTGAGCAGGGGCCATTCTGTAAATCAATCGCCTGTGATTATATAAATAAAAGTCAACAAGTTTTAGTGTTCATGTTATTAAACAAGTTAGACTAATTTTAATTAAGAATCGTTTTTCCTACAGACCCTGTTATAGCAATGAAAATAAATTTAGAATTGCAGAATCTTTACAAAGACATTACCACATTAAACAATTTTATTTAGAACTTCTAAAGAAACAAATTCAAGACAGTTCTTCCAATAGTAACAAAATAATCTATTGTTTAAATTCCTTCTCAACAAGATGACTTTATTCCATAACAGTTTATCAATCAGCTAGGCAGGTTTGCTCTTACCAGTTAAAATGGTCATGTGCCAGTCACTAGTCTTGTTTTTGTCTGTAAACTAACTAGGATAGCCAGGTCATAACTGAATGTGAGATAATTCAGCCCTGAACCTTCAAGAGCAAGTTTGAAATATTACAAATGCCTGGAACACCTTTTGATGGCTTCAACAGCTTCTTGAAGGTGTTACCACAAGTTAGCACTGGGGAAGAACCCTTAGTTTCTATCATAATGCTCTATCTTCTTCACCCTGAAATTAAGGTACCTTCCTCTTAGAAACCAGAGTGTTCTCATAGCAAGCTTAATAAGTTCAAAACAGGAAAAACAACTAGAAAACAGAATAATTAATTCTCCCATTAAGGCGCTCTTAAAATTAATGCTTAAGGGTCACAGGTGGCCAATGTCCACATATCCAAGGCCCTGCAACCATACATAAGGAATAGCAAATGCCACAAAATGCATTTCTCATAGTGAAATATGTTGAGCAATAATTAAATTCAGCATGAGAAAGCCAAAGGAACATTTGAGACATTTCTGGTTCTTCTATTCACTTGTTAAGGCATAGGAATTGAGCAAGCCAAGGCTTCTGGTACCCTCTAGACTAGTGGTTCTCAACCTTCCTAATGCTGCAACCCTTTAATACAGTTCCTCATGTTGTGGTGACATCCAACCCTAAAGTTACTTTTGTTGCTAATTAAATAACTGTAATTATGCTACTCTTCTGAATTGTAATGTAAATATAATGTGCAAACCCATGAAAGGGTCCTTTGACTCCCCCCCCCACCAGGAGTCACTACCCACAGGTTGAAAACCACTGCTCTAGACTCTTACATGCTTCTAAAGAGGTGGATTTGTAGCAAGTACTAGTCTGTCACCTTGCACTGCTGGAATGGAAGCTTTGGGGAATCTGGACATTATAGAAAAGCCTGGCAGAAGTACTTGAGATTTGCCAGGCTCACTCAACATGCTGGTTGTGAAAAATGTGACTAGTCAAATGCTCTGATACCTTCTCTTCATTTCTCACACCTCTGCAAACGAGACAACTGTTTTGCTAGATTCTTTGGTAGGACAGCTTTGACTTAATCTGATTTAGGGAATGAAATTGAACAGCTGCATCTCATCCCAGGCTGGATTTTATGACAGACTGCCTGCCCACACACATGCTGAGGTACTACACTGAAAATGTTCAATCTGTCATTCCTCTTCATGCATACAAATAGGGGGTTGCTGCTGGGTGTTGGTGGCACACGCCTTTAATCCCAGCACTTGGGAGGCGGAGGCAGGTGAATCTCTGTGAGTTCAAGGCCAGCCTGGTCTATGGCACTAGGTCCAGGACAGACTCCAAAGTAATACAGAGAAATCCTGTCTCGAAAAATCAAAAAGATAAAACAAAACAAAACAAAACGAAAAAACCAAACGGGTTGCAACGGAAGGAACAAATGCAATCTTTAGTCCCATCTTAGTGTCCCCAGAAAAAAAAATCTTATTTGCTTTTATCTCAGTAAGGAAGAAACAGCTGAAATACGGTTCCAGTTTTAACTTTGTAGAAAAATTCCCTAAAAGGATCAACACATGGACGTATAAGGCAAGGCGAGACCAAGAGACCACGAACAGCACTTTCCTAAATTGGGTCAATGCTGTGTACTCTGTGATTAAGACAAGCAATGGTTTAGACTTCAAGAGAATCAAGCATAAGCGTGATTGACATGTACAGCTACACCAGGGTTAAGTGAGTTGTGCTAACTGCCATGTTTGTTGATGAAATGTAGCTGAGATCATGCTTATCAAAATGTTTATGGAAAAGCTCTAAGTGATGTAGACGTGCAAGGTCACGGAAGTTTGCGGAAATATTCAAGGCCAGTCTCGCCTATCTATATCTTTGCACAGACAACTTTGTTCTCAACCCCTGGCATCACCTGGAATACAGCAATCACACAGACTGTTCGGCGTACAACTTGAAGCTCTCACTCCATGTTGGTCAATGAGGGAAGGTGTGCAGTCATTGAGCCTGTCTGTGGAGTCAGCTCACTAAGCTCAGTGATGGTGGTGGTGAGCAGAGCATCCTGAGACACCACTGCTTTACAAGCAGTGTCTGTAGAACTATTCCCCTGCATGGCAGGCACGTTGCTTTGAACTTCTAACAGGTTGTTAAAATGGCTATTTTCACCAAAAGATAGTAATCTATCTGAAAGTTTGGGTGATGCATATTCATCATCCGGTTGTTCTGTCTGTCCTTCATCATTCTTGGGTGAGCCATCAACAATGACAAGGAAAGACTTCCATGGTGTATTCTTATCATGTATCTACAAATAAAACAAAGTCACTACATATGTCTCTAAGTCTCCCAATTTACAAATACTTAGTAATACATTCATCTTTTAAAACAACATGTCCTCTTCCGGGCCTGGCATTGTGGCACATACCCATTTAAAAAACAAACAAACAAACACCATAATCCTAGCATGTGAGAGGCAAAGATAGGAGGGTTATGCATGGGTCTGAAGTCAGCCTGGACTGCAGAGCTAGACTATCTCTTGATCAAAAAGTAAATATTAAAGAAATAAAACAAAAATTCTCCCTGCTTTCTAGTGAGTTTCCTCTGCACTAATTACCACATATCTGCTTTGTACAGCAACCACTGCAGGCAAGTGTTTGGCACAGGTTTGGCTATAGGGAGCCTTAGCCCTTCACCTTATTCCCTGGATGTCACTGCAGGACACCTGAAGATAGAACCTGTTATGTCTGATCCTCTGGACTGGAATAATGACAGGTAATCAGGGTTAACAACCTACAGACCAGAAGGCTTTGTTTTTAAACAGCCTACCCATCACTTACTGAGGTGTGCCTCCGGAGAGTGGACTTGTCAGTAAATGTCCGTCCACATGCATTGCACATGAAAGGCTTCTCTCCTGTGTGGATGCGATGGTGGCGTTGGAGGGCATTTACCTGGGTGAACTGCTTCCCACACTGGTCACAACAATAAGGCCGCTCTCCTGAACACAAACAGAGAAGGGAACTACTCAATGACTTCTTCAGTCCACTTTCTTTAACTCTGGATGCACATCTGCATACCTTGGATAGTCTGTGCTCTCCCCAAAAAAGGAAAGCTACATTCCAATGACTCAAGGAAGAGGCCCTGGGAGAGGCACCAATCTACTATACTATAATACCTTAGAACTTAAGATTGTACCAAGAATAGGTCAATTCTGTGCAGGCAGCTGATATTGTATCTGTGAAATACAGACCTACTATCCATTTGTCCTAGTAACAAATAACATGTTTGTGTGCACGTGTCTATACTAACACCCATTCTTTATCCCTGTTTATATCTGAAAGACATGGACCCATACAAACACACATACTCAAATTGTCATACCACAGGAAGCATTGTGCCCTTTCAATAAACACCCCATGCTGCAAACAGACAGTCCCCCATTTGCATACTAAAGTCTTCTCGCTTTTCATTTTATCAAAACCAGAAACTGTTCCTACAAGGTGGCTCAGTGAATATAGGCACCTGCTACCAAGTCAGAAGATCTGAATTCAATCTCCAGGACCCACATAGTAAAAGGCAAGAACCAGCTCCTACAAGTTGTCTTCTGACCTCCACATGTGTCACCCACACACATACATGCACAAAATAAACAAACAAACAAAACAAAACAACTACAAAAACTACAAACTCAAAAGGTGGGAAGCCAGGCCAGTAGCTCTAGCACTTAAGCAGATAAGGATTCGAAATTGAAGGCCATTCTGGGCTACATAGCAAATTCAAGGGCTATATGAAAATCTATCTCAAAAAAGAAAACAGAAAAATAAGGTTCATGAATTAATGCAGTGGCACAGAATTCACATAGCATGTGCAAGGCTATATGTTCAACCACAAGTCCTGGAGTGGGTGAAAAGGTTTAAAAATACTATCATATGTAATTATACTTTAACTTCAAAACATCACTTAAAAAATACTACTATAAAAAAGTTTAACCAAGTTTCTTCTCCTAAAGCTTCGATTCAGAACAAATTTGGAATGTGCCTCACAGGTCATGTTCTTGGTGCCCAAGCTACTCACTGTTTTGAAGGCTGTGGAATCTTTATGGAACTGGATATTTCCTGGCTGGCTGAAAGCAGGTTAACCAAGCAGATTTTTAATATCATTCCAGCCTCTGGTTCTAGCTAACCCTCTCTAGTCCACACAATGTGAGGAACCTCCCTAAGTTCCTGCTGCCATGAACCTGGCCATGCTTTTCCCACCACAAGAGAATGAACCCTGAAACTCTGAGCCACTATCAGTCCTCCTGGGGAAGCTATTACAGTCACTGTAACACCAAAGCAACACTCTCCAAGTGACTTTAATAAATCTAAAACTTGTGAACTGTTTTCCTTGCCAGACTGAATGCTTCTCTGGTATTATGCAGCCATCCATACCTGTATGGATTTTAGCATGCTGGTAAAGGGAATTCCGCTGGGCAAAGGTCCGCAAACACACTTCACATTTAAAGGGTTTAGATCCAGTGTGGATTCTATTATGGTGTTTTAAGTACTCCTTAGAAGCAAAACTCTTGCCACATGTCTCACACATAAAAGGCCTTTCACCTACATGGAAAGATAAGACAAAAGTAGAAACAACAGTCATTAAAAGCACCTGGAAAATATGGTCTTCTTGATACACCTTGGCGAGCAGCATCGGACACTCTAATCAAACATTAAACATATTACTCTTGCTACTTGCTAAAAGTGATGGATATCTTGGGAGATCCAAACAGTGATTCAATGGGACTAGAATCAATGATATGGTTCAGCCACCTCAAATTTAATAAATTTAGTTACTGAAAACAGGAAAATGTTACAACTTTTGGGGATTTCTTGGATTATTTTCAACAAGTATTTCTGCAGCTCTTTATCAGAATAAAAGTCCCTCACAATGGATTACCAAGTGGCTTCTAGACTAGCGACACCAGTCAACTTACTTGACTGTAGGACAATTTCAATGACACCTCATTTTTTGTCATTTCAAGTTCTTTGTTTATTCTCCCAACTCACTCATACAGTCAATTGGTATGCCCGAGTTTACAAACATTAAAACATTGTCTTTCATAAAATTTAAATACATTAATAGTTAAATCTAGTTAAATCTGTGATGTGACAATGACTCCTCCACAGATTCCACAGGTGTTCAACATCCAGTAACACATGGTCCACCCCTCATCTGTCAGGACTGCGTACTTGAACCTGAGGCCTGTGTTGAGTGCTTAGATGTAAACAGTGTAAGCAAAGGAAGAGCTGGGTGAGTGAGTACAGTACATAGTGATGGACTAGGTTCTGTGTCCTGTGTGGGTTACATCAAAATTTTCAACCACAGGAATGTAATGTTGAACCAGAATAAAGCCAGCTTAAACTGTCCTTCTCATGGTAAACTATCACAAAGATTTATAGAATGAGCTATTGTCTCTAAATATGATTATTTGTCACTTAAGTATTTCTTGTTTTTTGCCAGGTTTTCAACAGTTGGCACTGACCATGCTTAACTGTTCATTGTTATAATAGACATTCAAGCAGAGATGTGCCCATGCCAATTCAAGAGTTGTTCCTCTGAGGCCATGTCATGACCTGGGCCATGGATTTCCAGCCTATTGAAACATTTCCTTACAGTTGGCCCATCATGTTGCTCCCAATTCTGTTCCTAAACATAGCAAGAAGAGAGCTGATCACACAATTTTTCGCAGGCTTTGGATAATTTCTTTAGGACAGACTCCTGGAAATGGACTTAAGAGTTGCAGCAATAGGAACTGTTTCATATTTCTAGACCTGTGGGCCCCATTTTAACACCTAGTGGCATACCACGCCACATGTACAGCAGCACTGCAGCAGGCGTATCTGATCCTCCCTTACAAGATGGAAAAGCTTTGTAACCTGCACAGCCGTAGCGGATGCCAGCTTCTAATAAGCAACTGCAGTTTCCATCTATAGCTAGGAAAGACAGTCAATCACAAGAGCGTGGTATTTACCTGTGTGGCACCTTTTATGATAAATCAGCATGTGGTTCTGAGTGAATCTTGCACCACACTCATCACAGACAAAAGGTCTTTCCCCTGTATGAATTCTGAAAGTACAACATTCAGATGATAACTCAGGGTATATTTCAAAGGTCACTTTGTAATACAATTTCCAATTTCCTCTGTATTGTGCAAAAAACATTTCCTCCGAGAGAGTTCAGAAAAAAATAATGGGACAGATCAAGGATGGTGGCCCACACCTTTAATCCCAGCACTTGGGAGGCAGATGCAGGCGAATGTCTGATTTTGAGGCCAGCCTGGTCTATAGAGCAAGTTCCAGGATGGCCAGGGCTATACAGATAAACCCCATCTTTCGAAAACAAACAAACAAAAAGGTTACCATACACCCCAACAAAAATGGAGTTTCTGTACAAGACCCAAGGACTATTATCTCCACTTTGTTCCACATACCAGAGTAGAACCACTGGGCAGCTCCTGCATCTCTCCTAGACTAGGACTTATTTATGCTGTGAAACCCTGGAAGGCCAGAGGTGTGCCTTTGCCTATTTTAGTATTAAAGAGGACCACTAATATTTGAAGCTTCCTCATTTGAAATAACCTTAGGAACTACTTACTGCTGAAGTACCATATGACCAAACATTTTACCATCATGTCCTAACACATGACCAGCCAGTCAGTCTAAAGAGAAAATCTGCTCTCCAACTGCTGAGAACCACATAGGAGTATTTCAGTTTCAAACAGCATGGTGTAGCAATCAGCCATGATCTGCTGAGTACATTCTACACAAGTACTTTGAATTCAGGCAAACTGAAGGATGACAGCCACCATGTTCTCTCCTGACAGTCTATTCTAGGTTGGAAGGCAAAGGTAGAATACAGTAGAAAATTCAACTGCTTGACTAGAATGAAGACATACATACTTAGAACTATAAAGTGGCACATGCCTTTGATATCAGCACTTGGGAGGCAGAGGCAGGCCCATCTCTGAAAATGCAAAGCAGGCACAGTCTACATAGCCAAGACCAACAAGGACTACACAGTGAGACACTCTAAAAAAACACAGTTCCTAACCCTCCTAATGCTGTGATCCCTTAATATAGTTCCTCACATTGTGGAACCATAAAATTATTTCCATTGCTACTTCATTACTATAATTTTGCTGTTATAAATTGTAATGTAAATATCTAATATACAGGCTATCTGATATGCAACCTCTGTGAAAGGGTCAGTGGACACTCCCCAAAGGGGTTGCAATTCACAGAGTGAGAGCTGCTGATCTAAAACAACAAAGAAAAAATAATAAGGAAACTTAGATATAAGAACTCACTATCCACCTACAGTCTGAAAACACAGAAAGCATCACTCAGGGGCTGGAGAGATGGCTCGCTTAGCAGTTAAGAGCACTTGCTGCTCTGGCAGAGGGCTAACATTGGTTCAGTTCCCAGTGCCCACATGTGGCTCACAACCATTTGTTACTTCAGTTCCAAGGGATCTGACATTTGCCTTCTGACCTCTGAGAGCACCAGGCACTTACATGATATACATACGTACATGCAGACAACACACCATATACATGAAATAAAAATACATTTTTTAAAAAGTTTTTAAAATGTTGTCTGAGTCTTAGATCCTAACTCTTAGAGATCAACCAATGAATTGCACTTTCCAAGCCCTAGGAACCTAAAAGATCACTAGAGAGGTATCCTACAGTACTATATATATCAACTCACTGGGCTTCAATGGGATTGAGTGAAGAAAAAGCCCAGCTGTTTTTCAAGTACAGAACACCTTGAGACCTCAGGCCACCTGGAGGCCAGGCACATAGCACCCCCAGGATTCTGGATAGCTCTGCTGTGCCCTTGCCTCTATGCTTGGGAGGAAAGGCCACATGAGAAGTTGAAGAACCATTTCTCAGACCTCCACACCTCCAAAGAGGATTCAAAGTTGCCTCTATTTCCCAAGTCCTAGATGGCACCGGTGGGGAAATGCGTATCTACAGACACAGACATGCTGGTCCAAGTCCTAAAACCATCTCCAACCACCAGTGCACTTTAGCACTTGGGAACCCATGTCCCCGCATGCAAGCCAGCCCTGCTCCACATAGCAATGTTCCCAGGCAGCCGCACCTCATGTGGGTCTTGAGAGCTGAGGGCTGTGAGAACTTAGCCTCACACTTGGTGCAGCCATAAGGCCTGTCGCCCGTGTGTGTGCGCTCGTGCATCCGCAGAGAAGTCTTGGAGCTCAGGCCCTTGCCACACTGGCCGCATCGGTGCCGCTCGCCACCACCCTCATGCACCTGAAGCACATGCCGTTTCACGTCCTTCTTACGCTTGAATTTCTTTGCACACATCTCACATGGGAAGTGGCGCTCACTACTGTGCACATGGCGCTGGTGGCTCTTCAGGTTGCAACGGTTGGCAAAGGTCTGGCTACAGGTATCACATCGGTACACTACCTCTGTAGCCACACCGTGGTGGTGCCTGATATGTTTCAGATAACTCTTCTCATACAGGAAGGCCTTCTCACACACTGTGCACTGGAAATTACTCTTCTTCTCCCCATCCTTCCCTTCTTCCTCCTTCTTCTCCCCCTCCACTTTCTGCAGACTTTCCTCTAATTTCACACTACTAGGGCAAGCCTCACTTTTGGAAGCTGGCTCTGTCTCCATCCTTTCAGGGTCTGGGCTTTGGTTCTGGGGACAACTGTCATTCTCTGCAGCTTCCTCCGCACTTTTCTGCTGTTCTCGGAGTCTTCTTGTATATTTCTTTTTAGGGATTTCCACAAACACCTTTCTTCCAGCCAGCCTCCCACTAGGTCTTCTGATTTTAGGGTAAGGAGGCTTGACCACTTCTTTCTTTTTGTCCAGTTTCTCCTTGCACTTTCTGGATGGCATTTCTGGCAAGAGGTCATTATCAACTCTCTCTACTGGATAGTCAGATGTATCTACAAGGTCACTGGAGTGAGCTTCCTCCCCTGGTACACTTGCTTTGGGGCTGGGGGTCACACTCACCTGGGGGCCAAGGCTGGCCTCCACCTCCTGAGACTCAGAGAAATTCTGTGATTCCAAAAGGACTGACTCCAGCATCTGCTTCTTTAGCTGAAAGCATGTTTCAGACAGGTCCAAACACTTGAGCTTTTCAGCCACTTCCAGCATCCGCTGCACCCGATCTTCTTCTACCTGCACCCTGGCAGTATAGACAAACTCCAGAAATGAAGCAAAGTCAACAACTTGAACGTCATTTAAACAGACATTAGTCCTGGTACCGTCTACATTCTTCTCGTTCAGGAACACCTCCTTAAAAAACTTGCTGGTGGCTGCCAGCACTGCTTTATGGGCCATGAAGTCTTTACACACACCCTGATACTCTACACTGACTGTAACGTCACAAAGATGGCCCAGAAGTCGGAGTTCATGCATCTCATGCAGAAGGTTCAATGGTGAAGATTTGGATTCCAGCAAAACTGTGCCACTTTCCATCTTCCTTCTAAAATAGCTTTGAAAACAAAAACAAGAATTAATAAACTCATGTATGAATAATCCCTGAAGAAAAGGAACTTGATATTATGAAGGTTAGATTAGTTCTTGAGAAGGTTGGTACCTACCAAACCCAACTTTTCTCATTGAAAGATTCAAATCACAGCTGAATGTGATAGCATGATCTATAACCCCAGGCACAACCCAACATTTAGAAGAAAGAGATAGGAAGCGCAGGTATGCAAAACCAATCTCACCTACACAACAATTTTAAGGCCAGCAAGAACTATATGAGAACCTATCACAAAACAACAAAAGCAAGCAAACAAAACACACAGACAAGGTTGAAGAGATGGCTCAGCAGTTAAGAGCACATACTGATCTTGCCAGGGACCCAAGTTTAATTCTTCACACCCACATTAGGCAACTCATAACTGCCTTTAATTCCACTTCTAGGGGATCAAACTTCTCAGGCACCTGTATTCACAAGCGCACACCCCAACAAAGACATATGCACATTATTAAGAACAAAATGAACCTTTAGGAAAAAAAAAACCTCACATGTAAATATAGAGTCAAATTACACTTCACTTCTTAGCAGTTTTCTAAAGTTTTTGAACAGCTTTCATGAGAATATTCTCATAAAAACAATAATGGTAAGACTTGCCCCAATGATAAGCACAAATGATTAGTTTACCTTTAGTGAAACTAAAGCAACTAAGGCAACAATTTGCTTATCCAGGTCATTTTCTATTCTACTCAAAGACATATGCCAAAGATATAGGAAAAATTATGTCTAATTCTTTGAGCAAGAAATTGTCACTTATTATCACTTCTACCACTGAAAACTGTTAAGTACTTCCTGGGAAAATAATTCAAAACCCCCCTCCTCTTTTGCAATGTCCTTAAATACACAGTAAACTACTGAGTTACTCCCCTGAAATAATTCAAGTTCCACAGCGTTTACAAACTGTGTTTCCTTGAGCAGGTTAGAGCCTCTCTGAACATCTACTTTCTCCACTTGGGAGGCCCAGCTATCCCGAGGCTTTAATTTAAGGGGCACAACATAGCAAACACTTCCAGCTGCCTGCCATTTGCTGTCTGTGGCATGCTTCCTACCCATAAAGCTACTGATGGAACCTCATCTTACAGGTGACAAGCTAGTAAGATAATTGGTTAACTGGCTGATGGGGTCTTGAGCCTAAGCCTCATGGTCCTATCTATGTTTAACTGAAGCTTCCCAACATACCCTTCCTTCATTCCAATCTCATCAAATGAAAAAAAAAAAAAAAAAAAAAATTTCCCCTGCAGTTGCCATATTCCCCTGGAACTCTTCTGGACTCTAAAATGCTAGCCCAATTTCATGTCGTCTGATCTGTGGACTCTGAGACCTCTGTCCCTGACTCTGTCTTCCCTTTCCAGGTTTGATTAGGTTTCCAAGTCTCCACCATCCAGAGAACTTCTGCTGATCTTCACCATCGCCTGTCCATCTCATTCAAGAGACCACCGCCTGTAGTACCCAGTCTCAAACATAGAAAAGACTCTCTTGGGGAGTGCAACTGTAAAATCAGCACCTGTGGAAGGACTGAAAGGGACTCTACAGGAAACACTACCTACCTATGGAGGAAGCAGTACCAGTGAGCCAATGCTCTGAGTCCCCGTGAAGATATAAAAAAAAAAAAAAAAATTGTATGCTTATAGCCTATACACATATTTCTGAGTGTATTAGGACGTTGCATTCTCTCAGACAAGAGAAAGGCAATTTAAAGAACCCACAGGCTATGTATATATTTTGAACTAATCAGAGGTCATAAATCCCCGAGTTCGAGCACAGGTCGACATTCCTGAGATGCCACAAATCTCCAAGCTCAAGCTCAGAGGACAGCAGCACTCTCCAGGAGCTGAAACGCCAAGATGCTGTAAATCCCATTATGTACTCTCTCCCTGTGTATAACCTTTGAGTATAAAAAGAAGCCCTTTCTCGGGGAACCAAATAATTTTCTAACTAGTTAGAATTGTCCCCCCCGCCCCGGCAGTACTTTTGAATAAAGTTGTTTCTGGTTAGTAGACTCCAGTGGTCTGCTTCCCGTTAACTGCACAAGATTCCAGCCTGGGGACAAAGGCTACAGATCCTCTCCACTTGATGCTCACATGGCCACCCTAACTTCCTAACATATCGCCCTGCCCCCTAAAGGTAAGTCGAGTCTTTCCAGGAGACCTGACTTCACCATCAACCAAGGAGACCCTGAGCAGATTTCCCCGTTTGTCTCTCACGGGTGGCAGACACCGGCTATTTGTGGCCTGGTGACAGCTGTGTTCCACTGTAACTCACTGGCATTCGGCCGCCCCTGGGTGGGCCGAGCATCCTCACCAAGGTCGCCAAGTAGTCAAGGGTCCGGACTCCCAGGCTAGGCCTCCAGGAGACGCTGCTCTCCGCATCCTGCCCACCCTTTACAGGGATCCTGGCTTTCACTCAGGGTATAAAGTACGGATGGCTGTGGCCTCCCTGACTGCACCGCCTCCGTCCCCACTGTGATCCCCCAGAGTCCCAGATGACCCAGGATCCTCCGAAGCTTCAAGGAGAACGAACTCTTGCTGCCAGGGTCTAGCCCCTCGTCCCCGACTCTGGCCTCCAGAGCCGAAAGAGTCCAATCTACCACTCTCGGCCTGGGTCACCACGGCCCGCAATTCCAAGGGACAGCAGGCAGAGGACATCCTGGAAGCCATCACACTCACCTCGCAGTCGGTGCCTCCGCCGGGCCGGCACCCTGGAACAGGCCCGCAGGAACCGCGGGTCTCGGGGTCGACGGAATGGTCGCCACGAGCGCGCCCCGCCCCCTGGTCGGTCCCGCCCCCCCGAAGGCTGGGAAGGCGCTGCGCGCGCAGGTCCAGCTGCAGAGGCGGTTCCGGGCGTTTTATTGCGCCGTCTTACGTGATTTGGGGCAGAGCTACTGGCTGGTAGCTCCTGGACCGTCACCTGCTTGGAGCCAAGGCTGCGCCTGCGCAGAAGACAGCAATAGCGGGGAGCAGTGTTAGTGAATAACCTGCGGCCATGCTGCTGCGTTCTTGTCCTCAGCTGATCGTTACGTTTCTGGGAGCAGAAATTCAGGCCTTCCTGGGTGCCGCGGTGCCCCAGGTCTTTGCATGGGGCTGGGGCCATGCTCGCTTGGCGTGGCGGGAAGCATGACGCAGCCTTGCTTTATTTGCATCCATCCGCTCTAAATCCGGTTTCCACCACCACGACCCCCTCCCTTTTTTTTTTTTTTTTTTTTTTTGGCTGTCTTGAAAGTAGCTCTGTTCCAGGCTGGCCTCCAACGCAGAGATCTGCCTACCTCTGCCTCCCGAATGCTGAGATTAAAGGCGTGCACCCCCAATGTCTGGCCCCATCCTTTATCTTAAAACCTGGTAATTTGAAAGTCCTGCCTTAGGTTTCCAGTTCCCGTTAAATAGTGATCATGCTTGATATTTCCACCCACTGCTAAAGCTTTACGAAGTCGCCTCCATACTGCCACCAGCCAACAAGACCTCTATTTGAACTAGAAATGCGATCTAGTCCTTTGAATTGGCCAATTACCTGAAATAAAAGTTCACTTCAATTACAAGATGAAGTTTAAACTATGTGTGGGAGTGCCATCAAATTATATTTGAAAATACCTTGGAATATATGTCTGAAAAGTTTCTACACCCTGATAAGCCAATGCAGCAATCCAAATCAAGCCGAAATGCTCCCTGATGTCCTTCCAGCCCCCACCCACCCCATCACAGCTCCCACCACCCCCAGACAGGGCGGGAAAGGGAGACCGGAAAAACCACAAGTGTGGGGTGTGGGGGGGAGAGGTGGGGGAGCAGTTTAAATACCCTGTGGGAGTGGTCTTGAGCAACTGAGCATCTCTGTGGGAGGGGTCATCATTTGGCGGGCTTTCTGAGATGCTGCAGGCTTTGGAAGGAAATAGGGGAGGAACTGGGTGGAACTTCCACCATAACAGCTTATATGTAGTTAATTGCTTTGCTACCAAAAAAAAAAAAAAAAAAAAAAAAAAAAAAAGAATTAAATCTTGTTTTACAATTCTGTTAGGAACATAAGTGAAACCATTCTGTGTAACTTGGAAAACACTTTTTGTGACTTTGAATACTTGCAAGATGTGTTATGGAGCCAACCACAAGGCAGCTCCAATGACCAAGCAGTTAGCTTGGATATATTGATGAACCAACCCTACGTTGTGAGCCCTTTAATCTTTATAATACCATGGTATTATAGGGAATGTTTGTGTGAATAAACTGAGAATATTTGAAAGGTAAATCTCGTAAGGGTTTTAAAAAAAGCGAGGAGGGAACAGAAAAGCACTCAGACTCGTATTCTTTGTTGTTGTTGTTATTTAATTATATATACAATGTTCTGCTTGCATGCTAGAAGAGGACACCAGATCTCATCATAGATGGTTTCTGGGAATTGAACTCAGAATCTCTGAAAGAGCAGATAGTGCTTTTAACCTCTGAGCCATTTCTCTAGCCCCACAGGGCAAGTTTTTTTGATACCCAGGCATATTGTTTCTACAGTGGAGCCAAAAGGTCAGGCACCAGCCAAGCAATTCTTTATGGTTAGGAGCTGTTGTCATTTAAAAAGCGGTGTGAGAGAGAAAGACTCCATGAGACAGAGTTCAAGTGGAGGTTTTTATTTTTATTAGGGGAAGGGATTGTAAAAGGGGGGGAAGGGGAGGAGAAAGTCCAGCCTCTGGGGACAGAAGCATCAGGAAGGAGAGGCAGAGACAGAGAGAGAGAGAGAGAGAGAGAGAGAGAGAGAGAGAGAGAGAAACAGATGACAGAGAGAGGGAGATAGAAAAAGAGGAAGATGGGAGGTGGGCAGGAGACCCTTTTAAAAAGGAACATAGTCAATATGCACAGGTGTTGCTCTTAGTGGCTGCAGCTAAGGTCTTATCCTGTCAGAACTCCAAAGGCAGGTGGGTACAAATGCCTAAATATTAGCAGGGGCTATTACTCATTTTGTGAATCAATTTCTCAAGACCTGAGGCTATTACCCAACTGTATGAACATTTTAATTGCTGAGCTCCTCACAGCCCACCAACCCTGCTCTTCAAAAACCCGTAATGAATCTGTATCTTAGAATATTTTGCTAGAAAACACTGACCCTACAAGGCCAACAAAGTTGTTATATGCCTTCCCAGTGAGAAATAAATCATTCTGCATACTTAGAGATTAGTTAAGGAAAGGTCTTTACTAAAGTACCTGCCTACTGGGGCTAAGGCCCAAATAAGGGTTGACACCCAACAGAAGATTTCATTAGCTTACCTATACATACTTTAGGATTATACATTTTACATACACTTTCATCCTTGAATCTCATTTAGGTTCTGGCCCCAGGTTACACTTTGAACAATTTAAACAGAGACAAGAGATGGCAAGTCTAGCTTTTAGGCAGATAGGGAATTTACACAGCAAGGATATATTGTCAGAATTATTTTAAGCACACCAGTTTTGTTGTTTTGTTTCCTAAATAGTTGTTACCCAGGGTCATCTTGCCCAAAGGGCAAATTTATGTTTTTCCCAAAAAGAGCACAATGAACTTAATGGCAGACCCGAACTTAATGATGCTGTGGCCTTGCACCACTCCCTTCAGCTGCTTCTTAGAGGTTTGTCTTTGGGGATGTGCCTAATGGCTTTAATCATGGTGAAGGCACCATGCATCCCAGCATCCTAAACTTTGTTTCTCTCTCACAGGTCTAGTTAGCATACTATTTCTCTTTGGGGTATTCTGGAGGCAGCTCCTTTAGCTAAATTACACTTGTGTGATTTAATGTCTCCTACGCGACCATTTTAGTGAATCTTTTATAACATTTGAATTTCTTCTACCTCAAAGTAACAAAAGTACTGATGAAAGCCTAGTCACCACTTCTTTTTGTGTCTCCTTTACTTTTGCTCAGACTCCTGTTTGACTCTGCTGACCTCACTTCATTCCCTTTCAGTAAGACATTGCCTTAACCTTTCTTAAGATTACATTGGATTTCAGAGCTACAGATCTGACCCATAAGCATCTTTGAGGCAATGACGAATTAAATGGAAGTCAACTATAACGTGTGTTCACTTCAAGGCGCTTATTTAGCTTATCTAGAAAGTTAGATATTGCGGGTCGCGTTGCGGAACACCCAACAGGCCGGGCCACGACCTTCAAGGTGAGCATCCACTGTAGATAGGTGTAGTAGCCTGGCAGCCTGGGTCAGCTCTTTATCACTCTGGGAGACTCCGAGAGCTGGTAGCCCACTCCGTTTCCAAGGAAACCGTCTTGCGATTGGTTTTGGGTGGTCGCGGAATGATGATGCTACAGTCTCGGTCCTAAAGGTCGACTGTTCCAGCGATCCTAACAGTTATAAGTGAGAGTCTATGGCAATTCTCTGCGGTCTTTTGACGTCCCTACCAGATTATACAGCCCTCTCTCTAAAACACCGCCACGCTGGAGCCTACACTCAGCATGAACAGCAGGGCGGGCGTGGGTGTTCATGGAGGAACTACACAGCAATGTCAGGATGTGCGATTCCCAGGCTCTAAAATCCTGCTAGTAATGTTATTTTTCAGTGGGTCAATGATGTGTCAGTTCAAGAGTCGAGTTTCAACAGGCCACAGGTTTTTACCTGCTTTGAATATGGGCTCATTATCACATTGACTATTCCCTCAACACACAACGGGATATAGGCCATTTTTTCACAAATGACAAAGATGGGTGTGTTTTTGTGAAGCTATCTATTTCCATTACTCACGCTGGACTGTTCTTAGAGATTCCAAAACCCAAACGCTTCATCTCTGGCTCTTTAAACACATCAGAGGACTTTACTTTCTTCCTTTCTTTCTCTCTCTCTTTCTTTCTTTCTTTTTTTAACATTAGGAGAAGAGCATATGTTGGGGAGATCAGAGAACAACTTGCAGGTGTTAGTTCTTTCCTCACCACTATGTTGGTCCCAGAGATTGAAAATTAAAATCCCAGAAGGCAATGCCTGAGAAACAGCTTTAATTTTTGATCAGTTCCTAGAAATTTCATGTCTACTAGAATTTCATTTTAAATTCACAAATCAATCACCTCATCAGTAATACGCTGAAAATAGCACAACACACCTTAAATGGTTCTTGGGATGTTTGTGCTGTTTCTGACTCTGTTACCCTCCAAGAGTTTGTGCTTTTCTACTACTAAATTCAGATATTTAATATGAATCTTATCACATAAAAGTCCACTCAATAATATCTCTTGTGGTAATATAATTACAAAAAAAAATGATATTAGTAGACATTTGTCGTTCTCACCATTTTCACTTTTAAAGGATGCTTTTGGTAATTATCTTATACGACAGTTGTGGTGGCACAGGCTAGTCTCAGCACCTTTTAAAAAAAGACTGAAAATAAGCAAGAGGAAGGAAATCACAAAGGGCTAACTGCTTCTTTGAAAACTCAGTAAAATCGGTAACTCCCTGAGAAAACAAACATTATTGATGATAGAAAGACACTTTTATAATACCAAAACCATGGGGGTGCAGTGCATGTGCCTGTAGTCCCGGCTACTCCATGGGCAGTCACCAGGAGCAGATGAGAGTTGAACAGCCTGAGCAATGTGAGACCCCCACCTTAAAGAAACACAACCTCCTGAATTTACCATTTCTTTTCACTGTACTGTGATCAGCCATAACATGACCCCACTGGTCAAGGTGATGTGCTGATTGCTCACAAATAAATCTTAGTGAGCTGTGGATGCTGGATCCTAACGCACAAGTGCTTAGAATATGGTGTCTTCTGAGGCTGACCAGATGAGGCCTGGGCAGTAGAACTCCCCAAAAGACTCCACACCACCCTGGTTATCCCAAACAACCTATGCTTCTAGGTGAGATGTCACAGTCCATGGATCAGAATCAAACTTACCCACTTTTAAACAAAAATTAATTTTACTGTATTGATGTTTTGTCTGCATATATGTCTGTGCACTACTTGTGGGACCAGTGGCCATGGAGACTGGAAAAGGTTACAAATAGCTGTGTAACACCTAGGAATTGAACCATGGCTCTCTGTAAGAGCAGCAAGTGCTCTTACTTGCTGCTCCATATTCAACCCCTAAACCTGTTCATTCTGGTCCCCAACATGCTGCTTTTCAGTGCCAACCCTAAAAGTATTTCTCACAGAACCCTTCCAGTGACCCACCTGACCAGGATATAGGATATGAATTAGAGAGATGTCCCTAGAGCCTTGGGAGCTTGAAAATAAGTCTAGTTTTCAGTCATTACTATGTCTCCATCACTGCTGAGAACAAAGAAAACTTTGCAAAGAATTATCTAATTTAATCCTGTTAAATGTAAAGATTTGTTTTCAAACTTTTCCAACAAGGTAGCACAGAAATGTCTTGTCTTTGTTAAAGCAAAATATAGGCTATATTCTCAATTTGGCAGACACCCTAGCAGGGAACCGTTATGAGCAGCTTTTTCCCTGCCGGTCTGGTCCCAAGCTGCGTCAGCCACAAATAACACACTGAGATATAATGCTGTTAGCCTGTTACTAACATTGCTTATTGGCTAGCTCTGTCTTAAATATTAACTCATTCCTATTAGTCTAAATATTTCCACGTGGTCATATCTTACCTAATAGAGGGCCCAGATCTCTGTTCTCTCCAGTTTCTACATCTTGACTATCCTCCCTACTTTCTCTCTCTCTCCTTCTAGTCTCCTAGTCCCGCCTATCTTGCTTTCCTACTGGCCAACAGTGCTTTATTCATTAACCAATACCAGAAACATATTTACAGAATGACATCTCCCATCAAAGAACTTGAAATACAGATTGCAAATGAGGATTTGTGATTAAAGCAAACTGCCTTTATTGCTCCAAAACAAAATGTGGTTTTTACAGAGTAAAAAGACACCTCCTTTCTTACTGAGTACATTCTCCAGGTCCCTGGGTGCATTTCTTAATTTGCAGACTGACAACAGTAGATAGCCTGGTGGTGACAGCATGGTGTTTGCCTTTAGTTTATGTGTGAAGTGCATTCTGGTGAGGCAAGGTTGGGCAGGGAGGGCAAAAGGAAAGATGGGTTGATGTGAGGGATGAAGGGGGGAACCCTGGCAGGGGTAGGATGTAAGGAATAGAAACTGGAGAACAGAGGTGAAGGGGAGAATTGGAGGATTCTATCAGAAAGGAGGGTGGGGTATGGAATGGATATTGAACAAAGCTTTGTCTTTGAGAACCATGTTAATTCAGATTCAAACATTCCCAGAGTGCCAGGAAAATGAGAACCTTGAGAATATGGTTTGTTCCAAGCCTGGAAAGTGAACACCATTCTGCTCTTACTATTTTGGGCAGTTAAGGCAGACTTTAAAGAACTTAATTCTTCGACTCCAGGACATTTGTATCAAGGTCTCCCCTGGAGACAGTTTGGGATATTTAAAGCTCAGCAGCATGTGCCTCCAAATCACTAACTTCTCATTCTCCTCCATTCTCCTTCCCTGTTTGTCTTCCTAAGGGGTCATGTTTAGTGTTCCAGGATCTTAGTCAATTTGTGGTGGAAACCTCCTGTTGTCATTTCATACATTTTAGTAGCATCTCAGCTTGAATTTCGAGTCTCATCTTGTCACCAAGTCTGTAGGACTGGTTTGACTGTTCTAGATGTGGCTTTGGAGTTATTTCATGGGTATGACTGGCCAAGACGTAAAGTGATATAATCATAGGTTAACTAGGGTTACTCTGGCAGTCAAGAGAGATCCAGAGTACTGCATGAGGATCCCACCTCTAGGTCACAGCCAGATTGCCTTGTTATTCATGATAAAGCCATGACCAGTAGTCTAGCATCCAGAGAGAAGTGTGAGAGGACACACAATCCCCCAGTTTAATCCTTCAGCTTCTGCTTCATTGGCCAACAGCACATCAAACCTAGTGCTAACTCAGACTGAAAAGTAAGTTTCAGGTAGGTCCTTTGTAGTTACAGCTTCTGTGTCCCCTCCCAACCTTGGAGCTTCTGGTAGGAGGAGCACTCAGCTGCTCTTCACATTTATCAGCAGGAACTCCCACCCAGGTGCTAAGAGCAAAGCCAATTGTCAGGTGAAGTAACTTTTTTTTTTTTTTTTTTAAACAAACCATACATTAAGATAAGGGTTCTTTTGAAAAATAAAATGCCAATACCCAGATCATATTTGTAGTGGAGGTGCTGGCTAGGGATATGACCCAGTAGAGGTAATTTCCAATGTTTTAAGGATTCTACCTACCACCCACAGCTCTGGATCCCCAAGATCACAGTGGGGTAAGAGTTCATCACAGACCCTTCCACTTTAATAGGTACTTCTTACTATATTTTCTGCCTTTCACACTCCATCCTTCTCAAAATTTAGACACAAGGCAGAGAAGCAACATTTATTTATTTGTCAATTTCCAGAAACAGGGTCTCTACCGATTAAGTAGAAAAATAGAAAGTTTACTACTTTTAAAAGGCAACTATGACAAACCAGTATATAACCAGGAAAGGGGTTTCTAGTAGTCAAACATCCAGTTTGCAGTGCTTCTGTGACAACAAAAATGAACGGTGTTTTCCACATCCTGAGATTTGTGACTGGTGACTGGCATTTCTCTGCAGAGCTGGGCCGAAGCCAAGAAGCCTTTCTCACCCTCACTAGCTGGCCCAGTCCTGGAATCGGAAGCAGTCACTTGCTATCTTCCACACTGTGTTAGTGGGTGAAGCCTGGGCAGTTAAGATGAAGTTCTGGTTGAAGTGCCGCTGTTTATTGCCCTCAAATTTCACTGATCCACAGATCACCACAAGGACTGTGGTCTGGCTTGGTGTAGCTTCATCATGGACAGGCTGGCAGTCTACCACGTTGATTTGGAACTCACTGGAAGGCAACATCTCAAAAAACTCGTTCAAGGATTCTTGTCCTGAAACAGCATTTCCATTCCACACTAAAGTGGCCGTGCCCATGTACAGGCGGGATAGCAGCCGCCGCCGCTTATCCATGGTAGTGTAGTAGACATTGACAAACTCTTCTGCAGCCCTGCAGGCCTGGTCCACATAGGTCTTGAAATCCACTGACGCCATCTCTGGTTCTGCTGAAAGAGGCTTCTGTCAGATTGGCTCCTCTGTGAGGATCCAGGGACTGTAGGACAACAAATATGAAAGGAACACATATGAATATCAAAGTCTATTCTGTTCTGATAAAACTTTATTTTTTCCCTCTTTTAAATTTAAATTAGAAACAATCTTGTTTTACATATCAATCCTAGTTCCTTCTTCCTATCCTCCCCTGCCCCCAATAATCCCTCATCCCATCCCATTTCTGATCCCTAGAGAGAGAGTGAGGCCTTCCACGGGGGAGTCTTCAAAGTCTGTCACATCCCTTGTGTCTAGGCTGAGAGTACCCCTCTATGTGGAATGGGGTCCCAAAGTCCATTTGAATACTAGGGATAAATACTGATCCGCTGGGCTCCATAGACTGCCCAGGCCTCCTAACTGACACCCATGTTCAAGGGGTCTGGGCTGGTCCTATACTGGTTTCCCAGCTATGAGACTGGGGTCCATGAGCTAGCTCCCCCTTGTTCAGGTCAGCTGTTTCTATGGTTTCCCCAGCCTGGTCTTGACCCCTTTGTTCATACTCCTCCCTCTCTGCAACTGCATTCCAAGAGTTCTGCTTCTGCTTCCACCAGCTACTGGATGAAGGCTCTAGGATGGCATATAAGGTAGTCATCAATCTCATTATCAGGGAATGGCATTTAAGGTAGCCTCTCCACTATTGCTTAGGTTGTTAGTTGGGGTCATCATTGTAGGCCTCTGGACATTTCCTTAGTGCCAGATTTCTCTTTTAACCTATAATGACTCCCTCTATTAAAGTATCTCTTTTCTTGCTCTCCTCTATTCTTCCCTACACTCAATCTTCCTGTGCCCTATTATCCTGCTCCCCTGCTTCTTCTCCCCTTTTTTCTCATAACTCCCTGTCCCCTCCCCCCATGCTCCTAATTTGCTCAGATCTTGTCCCTTTCCCCTTCTCCGGGGGACCATGTCTGATAAAACTTTTATGTTTTAAGTTTTAAAATTATATTTATGTGTATGTGAATTGTATAGGAGTCTTGTCTGTCCACCATATGGGCCCTAGGTACCAAGCTCAGGTTGTTAGGCTTGTTGACTCACCTAGCCCCCAACCCTCCTTTTCCATAGGCAACAGAACATTACATACTGTAGGCAGATGACTTTAGGCTCAAACTGTTGTTATTTTAAAGGCAAGGTTTCCTATGTAGTCCTGCCTGGCCTGGAATTGAGAGATCCATCTGCCTCTCTCTGTCAAGTGCTGGGATCAAAGGCATTCACCACCAAGCCACCAGCAAGTATTGCTTCTTTAATCTTACTATCCTCAGTTTCTAAATAAATTAAAAAAAAAAAAAAAAAAGGAACATCAAATTTAAAACAGACAAGGCACATCCAGCATTGAGTTAAGAAGCTCAAGCTAGGAGTGATGGGGCACGCTGGAGAAGTTGAGGCAGGTGCTAGAGCCAGCCTGGAACAGAGATAGCAAGCCTGGTCTCAAAAACAACACAGCAAACCTGGTCTCCAAAAAAATAAATAAATAAAAAGTCTGACATGTCCATCTTACAATGGGATTTAAAATCCATTTTATTTTTAGAGCACATATGGTGTCAGAGAACGTTCCCTCCTGAAAGCTTGGAATAGGTGTGGCTGCTTTTATGCAACCAGGGTGTGGCTCATCCTAGTCCAGACAGTGGCTCAAGCTGAAGAAATAAGTGGTTACTGGCCCAACAAAGGCTACCAGAGGGGGAGCAGGTAACAAGTGACTGGGAAGACTACAATGAACTAACCCATCAAGGACCCAGATGTATGGAGTAGTATATTTCTCAGGAGAGTGGAGGATAGTGGTCACAATCCCCAAAAGACTGCAATTAACATCTTTAGCACTAATGCCCATCATGTAAGATCAGAGGGGCCATAATACCACAGCAGAAGGCAGAAGAACCCTAGGAGTCAAGCAGAATCTAAATTGTATTGTATGTGCATTGGTGTGAGGGTGTCTGATCTCCTAGAACTGGAGTTACAGACAGTTGTGAGCTGCCATGTGGGTGCTGGGACTTGAACCTGGGTCCTCTGGAAGAACATTAAGTGCTCTTAACTCTCAAAAAGAGTCCATGAATTTCTTTGTTTTATTTTTGTTTGTTGCTCGACACAGGGTTTCTCTGTATAGCTTGAACTCAGAGATCCACCTGCCTCAGGCTACCAAATGCTGGGATTAAAGGTGTGTTCCTATACTGCCCATCTCACACAGGATCTAATGGGGAGGGGATAACACAGTTTTATCTGATTTGAAATATCACATAATCAGCGTATTTTTTCCATAACAGGTTCGACTGTTAATTTCTTCTACGATTAAAAACTTTCCATTTAAAAGAAACCAGCACTAATGTTACTGAAAATATTTGACACATTTGTCAGTTTCCAGCAACAGGTCTCTACCGTGTAAGCTTAAAACTTAAGTAGTAAACACTATTTTATTTCAAGTACCTTTATTTTATTGACACAAGGTCTCTCTATGTACTTTTGAAACTTGTTTTGTAGATCAGGCTGGCCTCGAACTCACTGAGATTCACCTGCCTCTGTCGGGATAAAAGATGTGCCTGACTCAACTTTTATTTATTTTTTAACAATCAGCTTATGAACGATGATTACACACAGGGCTGGGAGGAAGCTGGTCCTATAGATGAGCAGTTCAGAGCAAGCTTGATAATGTTCTAAGGACCTCAGACTTAAGACTCAACAATCAATCTGAAGTGATACAAGTTAAGTAGTTTAGACTCATGCCTTCAATCATCACTGCACAAGTGGGTATCACTGTAACAATTATACTAATGAGGAAGAGGAGCTTGCACACTCTTGGCCGATTCAAGGTCGATCTAGGAAAATCGGAGGGTGAAGGTCATGTCCTGTTCACTAAATTCCTGGACTTTTGAGAGCAAGTTTATAAGAACACAGTTCCGGGGATGCCGGTCTAAGAATGTCCTCCCAAGTAACCACATTTCCCTATGCCCAACCAGCTCATCATTACAAACGCCGCTTACCATGAAGCTCCCTGTTGACCTTTTTCTCTTCTGCTTCCTCCAAACACAACCCAACAATGGTCACGCCCCCAAAGGATGATAACCCCTATTTCTGGTCCTCGGCTACCCACAGAACCTGCTCAGTTCTCCCACACCAGGGGAAAAACAGCAAGACCGAAACACAGAGTGAGAGGCCAGGAGGATGCACCACTCCGTGGTTCACACACTCCAACTTCCTGGAGCTGGACCCCGGGAGCGGCAGCCGTGTTCCGGGCCTTGTGTTCAGCCTAGCGTCGCTTATTAAAGCAGCTGGCAGATGGCAGCACCGTCTTCAGAGCCATCATCCAGCCCCCAAACTGCTGCTCTCCTCCAGGCAGGGCAAACTCACTGCCACGGTTTTACACAGAAAGAAGCCTGATGTCCTGCTACAAAGACACCATCTGGAGAAAAGACAACACCCAGGTCTTACTGAGCCTGAGGGGAGGCAAGGGGTACCGCCGGCCACCACACAGCCAGACAGGGGCGGCCACCTACCTGCTCCGCCCCGGTCAGCGCCTCCAAGGCGACTCGGTCCCGGGTCCCGCTCCGGTCGCGGCCCCGGGACAGAAGATTTACGCTCCTGCCCTCCTCTTCCTCCCAGAGGCTCCGCCTGACGCGCCGGCTTCCTGGAGGCGGAGAACGGTTGGTCGCCGGTAGCGGCTTCCCGCGCGCGGCGTGCTGCGGTCTACGCAGGCGCGAGGGTCTCGTTTCCCAATGGCCCCGCCTCCGCGTGACGGGCAGATACGCGAGCCAGTAGAAAGGCTGGCTCCGCCCAGGTGTGGCTGCAAAGACAGCGCTGCTTCCGGGGAAGTCCCCAACCTAGAAGTTCCGGTGGAGGGAGCTCTGATTGGAGGGCGTAGAGGGGGCGGGGTTACGTGCGCGCTCAGCTGTGGAAGACCTGGCTGCTGAGAGCTGTGCAGCTGGGGTGCTTCACGGCTTCACGCCATCTAGGGAGACAGCAGCATGGCTGCAGTAAAGCTCTGGACTGAACCTAGTACATAGGACGCCCGCGATATTGGAACCCGAGTGGAAAGCTAAGTGAGAGAGTCCTGTGGAAGTCCATGGGGTCAAGCATCTTACCTGACGCGCCCTTTCTTAAGTAAAGCCACCTAGAGTAGACATTGCAAATGTGCTTAAACGAGAGAAGCAGTTTTAGTCAAGTGAAAGAGTTAAGAGTAGGGCCGAGGTCGCGGGAGAGGCGACAACAGTGGCAGCTGATTTTTCTCTGCCAGCCCTCGCTGGCTCTAGCTGTGGCGAACTGTTCCTCCGCATGTAAAGTTGGTTGGTTTGGTTTGGTTAATCTGAAGCAGTCTTGATACTTATCGTTCGAATGGAACCATTTAGTGGTAACACAAAACCCGGAAATCTTATTTTCCCGAGACATGATTCTCTGCCTCATCCTTCCGACTGGGAGAACCCTCTGGAAGTGACTAGGTTGAATGAAGTACTGTATTTTGTTGACAACCCCTTGGGTCCTTTTGTCCATGTTCCTAAGATAACCTTTGCTTATAGACTTAAGCCAGATAGGCTGCTTAATATAGGCACTCCCCCACTGCATTCAAGTAAGTGAAAAGTTTTCATTATTGAAAGAAGTAAGTTGGAGGCTGAGTTTAGAGGATGAATAAGTGTCTTCGGGAGTAATAGTTACACACAAAATGGTTTTATAAACCTGGCAGTAGGTAGTAGTAGGTCCTAGGACTTTCCTTGAGAAAGAACTTGGCTTTTCTTTCTGTAGGCCTTGCGTTTGGTGAGATTAGAGATACCTCTGACTCCAGGAAACATAGCAATGACACAGTTGAGAGTATGTCTTAGTCAAGTTTCTCAAGAGTAATAGAACTTACAGAATGAATAATCTCTCTCATACACACAAACACACACACACACACACACACAAAGAGAGAGAGAGAGGTCCAACTAGTCCAACAATGACTGCCAATAAATGGAAAGCCCTAGAATACAGCAGTTGTTCAGTCGGTAAGACTGGAGGTCTCAGCTGCTGTTCAGTATATGTCGGAAGTAGGCTCTAATGCCGGTAAAGGAATAGACTTGCTAGCAAGGGTTAGAGCAAACAGGCAAAGAGAAAGAGCTTTCTTCTTCCATGTTCATTATATAGGCTTCCAGTAGAAGGTGTGGTACAAATTAAATGTGGATTTTCTCACCTCAAAGATATGGATTAAAGGTTTTTCTTCCCACCCCAGAAATCCATATTAAAATTGGATCTTCCCACTTCAAATAGTTTATTTGAAAAAAAAAAAATCCCTCACAGGTTTACCCAGTCATTTGGGTTTTGGTTAATTCCAGATGTATGTAGTCAAGATTACAACTAAGAATAGCCATCACAGGATGTTTGGAGGACCAGTTATTTTCATTGCATTGGTGGATTGGAGAAAGAGTTTGATAGGGCATTCTTGGAAAGGGGCATTTTTATTCTCTTTCCTTTTTTGAATATGGGTACGGACAGCAATTCTTCAGTCTTGCTCCTCTGAGGAGAAACTGACTCATCAGTGATGAGGCAAACAGGAAGGGTGAGAAGAAATCAGGCCTTCAGTGAGTGTTAGGAGTATCCTCTTCTGTGTGTGTGTGTGTGTGTGTGTGTGTGTGTGTGTGAGAGAGAGAGAGAGAGAGAGAGAGAGAGAGAGAGAGAGAGAGAGGATGTGATTGAACCCAGGACCTCATCATGCTGACTAAATGCTTTGCCCCTGTCCCAAACCTCAGCCCCAGTCTTCAGTTTTGGACTTCACAGTGTGTGGAGTCAGTGTTTAAAATCTGGGCATATTTAATTACTTGCACTGTGTCTTTGAGTATCAGCAGTGTGATTGTGGCATGTGAGTTTGCCTGTCTGGGAAGCAGCTGCTTGCTCTGTAAAGCAGGGACACTAATGATCTTGGAATGGCTTCACATGGGTCTGAATCCAAATTAGCATCCAGAAACATTAACGGGACCAAATTGTTTTATATTTTATGTTCACAGCAACTTGTTCATTTGTTGACAATCCTTCTAATGAAATAATTGGTTTTTACATTTGGGACAAGCATATGACAAATTGGTGGGATTTGTTACCTGATCGTATAGACACTTTTGATAAATGAGGCTGGCCTAAGCAGCTGTAGAATCAATGTTCCCATTTGCCACATGGAGCCTGTCCAGGACACATCTGTTCCATACACAGAGTTGGGCCTGACTTAAGAATCGTAAAATCTGTCAGCATGGGCTTGCTCTCCTCTCCCTCTGTCAGTGCTTTTCCCTAGAATAGAATCCAAACAGCATGTTTTCAAAAGCAGCTGTGTGACTTGCAGCCAGCGAATTCACAGCTGTGTCTTGAATACCCTGTCACCTGAAACACATCCAGTCTCTTGACCTTGGTGGGCCTGTCTGAGTTCTGGTGGATGAGGGTGAGCTAAGGTTGTATTTTTGTGAGCTCATTTAGGGACTTGACTGTGTAGAGACTGTGGTGGGGGGCACAGAAGAAGCACACTCAATAGAAGCAGGTGTTACCAGTAGTTTTTCCCCACCGAAGATCTGGTCCCGCCGGCATGCCAGCCCCAATTAATACACAGAGACTCTGTATTAGATATAATTCTGTCGGCCTGTTACTAGTTACTAGCTTTGTCTTAATTATTAACCCATTTCTATTAATCTAAGTATTTCCATGTGGCCTTACCTTACCCGAGAGCAGGCTGGTGTTCTGCTCTCTCCGGTCTCCCCATGCTGACTCCTCCCTACTACTTCCTTGAATCCTTCTTGTCTCCTAGTCCTGCCTATCTTGCTTTCCTATTGGCCAGCAGTGCTTTATTCATTAACCAGTATGAGAAACATCTTTATAGAATGACATCTCCCATCATCTCCTCTTTTCTATCTAAATAAAAAGAAGGGTTTTAACCTTAACATAGCAAAATATATCACACAACAGTTATCAAGTAAGAATCACAGTTAACAATATTTAGTCCATTAACATTTAGTAAAATTTAAGAAAATATTCCATCATCTATTCTATCTTTGTGAGTCTAAAGTTAACTTATCTTTAATCCTAACTAAGGAAAACTATAACCATAACTATCTGTCTTCAACTCCATCAAAGACTACAAAAGGATAATATATAAACTCTAGAAATGACAAAGATATCTTGCTACCTGGTCAGACACCTCAAGTTCTTCTATAATGTTTCATCTTCAGCCCATAGGCCATAATGTGTCTGGCAGACTCCTCAGCAAAGCAGGTAACTTTAAACTGTCTTCTTGTATTGGCAGTTTGTCAGTCACTTTTCTCTGTGTCCTGCAGACTGTCTGGCAGACTCTTCCATGAAGCAGGAACTCTGTAGCAATGTCCATCTTGAATCAGCAGTCACTTTCCTGTGGGTCCTTCATGTCCAGTTTATACAGCATAAAGTCAAACAATACAGACAAGAGCAGTATCTTGTCCAAATGGCTAGTCTTGCCATATTGGAAGTAAACTTCATAACTCATTTCTTCAATGTCCATCTTCCTTTCTGAAGCAGGTGGTGTTGCGAGGAACATTTGTGTCTCACTGTCAAGAAAAACCCTAAACCATTTTAAATGCCATATTCTGTAGGTCTTTGAAAGGTTTGAAGAATGCTTATTCATCTCAAATACATCTCTATATATCTAGAAATACTAACTATAAGTTTTGACTATTATAGATACCTATCTATAATCTGCACTAAATTATACATTATATTTCTAAATGTGCTATATAAACACAATACCCAAACAAGAGAAGAAATAATACATATCACAAAATTGACCTTAAATTTGTATCAATAAATGAAAATCCATTCCAAAACAAAGTATTCATATCTATACCATAATCCTCTTTTTACCTTTAAAATATTGGTTGTGGTCATTAACCATTTATAACCAACCCTATTTAAATGAAAACAAACATTTATAAACAATATTTGGGAATTTGGGCGTCGTTCTTTCCAAACTGCTTCCTGCTGGTAGGGGACGCTGTTATGGGCATCCTAAGAAGATGCAGAAATCCTGGCTGTAGTCTGCAAGGCTGCTTTGTTCAAGCTGTTTTGAATGCTGGATCACCAGGAACTATGTTTCAGGGGGTCTGGCTTGATCAAACAACAGTGCTTTATTCATTAACCAGTATGAGAAACATATTTACAGACTGACATCTCCCATCAACCAGTTAGTATTTTGTAAAACCCATGCTCTGCCTTCTCTATTGCCAAAAAATGGAATGAGACACCTGGGAACATGGCTCCCATAGACATTACATGGAAGCGCTCCCTGTGATGTCACTGTTTGCCTAAGAAGGATGTAATGATTGCTAATGACTAAGTTTCAGGTACATCTCTTACCATCCCTTACCATTCAGCAATCTGAAACAGTGGGACAGGTCACACATGCCTACAGAGCCTCTGTGTGGTCAAAATGGGACATCTGTATTTATTAGTATTTGCAAAGTACAAGAAACCAATTTTGGTTAATTTCAGTCAAAATGTCTTAATGGGAAGGCTGCTAATAGAGTCAATAGCAAGCATTTACGCAGATGATTTTGGGGGGTCTGGAAATAAGAACCGGATAGAATTTGATTAAGAGCTGTGTGCTGGTTAGTTTTTGTTTTTGTTATTGTCTGATTGATGTTTGATATAAGCTAGGGTCCAAGCTCAACTGAGAAAATGCCGCCTTAAGATGGTCCTGTAGAGGACT